GCCCCTTTGAGGCAATCGGACGGGCCACGAGACGAGGGGTGGGTTCGTGAGTTGTGACAGTCGGCTTGTCCTCCGCCCCTCTATCTCCACGGAAGGTCGGAATACGAGTCTGTCTCCCCAGAGAAAAAAACCCTAAGAGATCGCCAGTTTAGGCTGTCAACCCGAGCAGACTTTCGTCAACAGAGTCGTAGTCATCCACTTGGGCTCTCCACCGCAACCACTGTCAGGGAGAAAGAAGTGGCGCCTCTGATTTGCAGTTTCCTGCGGACGGAACCCATCCGCGACAAATCAGGACGAGTCATGTCACCCTCTTCCCCCCCCCCCCCCCTAACCCTAGAGAACATCATCATTGCCCGCCAGTCTAGAACTTTCACCACTGTTCGGTAAATCCTAAATCCCTATTTGGCAGTTCAATGGCACTTCTGGACGGAGGGGAAACTCTTTCTCAATAATCATTGTTCGCCAAGTTCTTTCTCTCCAAGCGAGATGACAATCCGCATTGTACTAGTAGTTCGAGTACCAGCAAAACCCTTCCCCAAGCATGCCCAGCCTCGTGTCTACAGTTAGTGTCAATGACCTCCGAGGTGGATTTCCTTAAGTCGCATGCATGCATGCATGGGTTCTGGAAAGAGAGAACCAGACTCCCGGGTCCCTTAGGACCGGGGAACATCGACCAAAATGGAAAATAAACATGCCTGGGAGTCTTCGAGTCCCCACCTTTGGGGGCGACGTCTATGCCGTGCTGGGACAAGTTAACCCATTCGAAACATCACCACCCGGCTTTCCTCGGCCTGTCATGACTCGCTTCTCATGCATTTCTTTCCACCTTCCCAATGTTAATCCGGTTTAAGCTAGCACGGTTACAGTTGTGTGGTGGGCTAGGCCGCCCACCTCCACCGCGTGCGACCGAGCGCGCCAGCTAAGTTACCAGTTGCCAGCCCCCCATCGGGCGCGCCCGCCTGCGAACCCTCACACAACGGAAGTTCGCCGCGAAGAGGTTATCGTGAATCAAATAGATTAAAATCTGGTTCGTGCCATTAGCTAGCTGCTACTTGCTAACTATGTACTACATGTGTAGCTGCAGGTGTTTCCGGTGCTTCGAAACATTACTCCGTCGAAATTCGCTGTTCTAAGAATATTACACAGTGACCCCCCCTCCCCTGGGCGCAAGGCCGGCTTCCTTGGTCGTCGATCTCGGGGAAGACATTCCTTCGCGTCGCTAGCACGCCACACTAGCCACGACTGTCGCTGCAGGGGGAGCCTAGCGTACTTGCCACCACGAGCGACGCGATGAAGGTGGTTCAGGGGGGTTGAGAGCCTAGAGGGCTTGGTATCAGTACTCCGGCTAGACGAAAGCACAGCACAGTCGTGTGTGACCACGGGATGATGCCATTCTGGTGAAGGCCCAGATCGGCGTGGCAGGTCGGATTTGACCGACGAATTGCCACTCATGAGCACGCGAGGATGACTCAGTGGAATAATTAAGTTATGCTCCGTCGGCATAGAATACTGTGTCGGCCATAAGATTCTGAAGGCTTTTGGTCGTCCATGTCATTTAGAAACCTTAACGGAACGGCTGCCGAGACATGGGGAGAATCCTGACGATTTGCCGGCAATCCCCCTTGGATCCTAGCATACTTTCGCCTATCTTCTTGATTCTTCGCGCGGCAAACTCAGAAGATGTCTAGTGAAAGAACTATACCCTGTCTAGATATTGTTCGGTCGCATGGGACGGGTCGATCTCTATTAAATATACTGTACATCACCAGTCTATTAGCCAGGACCGCCCGCGCTGATAACACCCTGAGACCGATATTGAATATATAAATAGTAGCGAACGATTTGTCCTGCGCACTGAGCAGATGCTTGAATCACTAGAGTGAAACATGCGGACAATCCCGGCGATGGAGGGTATCACTATGATTAATCCAAGGGATACTTCTTCGAATTCCTGCTTTTGCTCCTAACAAGCGCACCGGCAGCAGCCGAGCCACAGACCAAACCTTCTGCAGCAGAACCTTCTCGCAAAGGATACGAGCCATCGGCTTCTTAGCTGTTCAGAAGACCGATCTGGTCCGGGCGAAGACAATAGCTGCAGCTGCGGCCACTGCTGTACCGTGGGAATGGTGAAGCGCAAACCTTACTTCTATCTATGCGGGGGCTCCAAGATCTTGGAAATTTTAGACAAGAATCTTCGGTCAGCGATATGGAGGTTTAAACGACTGCGTGTACGGTCCACGTGGACAGGCGGCCAAGTGACTCAGGCAAGCCCTGACAAGCCTTGAGAGAATACAATTCGAAGTATCGCTGAGTTGCTCTGATGTTCTGGACAACTCTTGTCAAATCGCCAACTTTGGCTACTCAATTATTCAGTAGCGTTAGTTAGTTACTTGGGTGATCGAGATTGTGCGTGCGTCTGACTAATCATGCAAGCATAACTACACACCGACCGTTATGCATCTCTCCTTAGGAGTCTCCCTGCAACTGCTCCGGCGATGACATTTCCGCGGCCTGCCGCACCTGCTGCAATCCACCGGCGTAGAAGACTTTCAGCATCTGTTTGACCAGCAAAGCTGAGCAACAAACCGCCGACGGAATTCAATTTTCCGTATCAAGTGGATCAGCAACTTTTCAAGGTCAGCAAACAAAGCTACAGCCTTGCCGTCGTGAACTGTTCATGCTGACCCTACTAGAACAGCAATCCCGTACGCACTATGCAACAGTCCCGGTCTCCTATTTCCGACGCCCTGCGACAACAGTCCCTGGCATTTGTGTCTGCAGGAAAACAATTCCTTGCTTGGAATCTCTCCAGTGTGCTCAGTATCCATAATGCGTAATCGGGCGCCGAGGAGCTGAGTCGCGATGAGTCGGGCTCAAACGCGCGAGTCCCGGGCGTTGAGAGAGTGGGCCCGTTGCCGGCAAACAGTCACCAGCGAAAGTTGCCGATCACCGGATATTTTCCCAAGCAGGGCAGGGATGAGCGCTGCCTGCCCTCAACGGGGATCTGCAGTGCTCCTCCAGGCTTGCACCCACTCACGTTCGACCTTCACCCTCCGCTTATTTTAGAGCGTGCATCCTCATCTCGTTCGGGGAACAGGAACTCGACGAGAATCAAGCGGATGGCCCTCGGTTACTCGGTCCAGTGGGGTTGACGGAAGATGTGAAGGGTCCGACATTAGGGGGAGTGTTCCTCGATTGCATTCTTGGATGATGGGTTTTTGTTCGAAATCGCCTGGGACGTTGCTCGCGTAACCCACGAATCCGCGTTCTTGGACTTGGGCAACCGTCTTGTCTCGCAACATGCTTGCTCGACAAATGCGACCGTTGCGGTCGGATCGGCTCTTGCTGTCAACGGGAGGTTCCAGCTGGCCACACAGCGAGAGCTTGAAGGCTCGCAACGGAGGGTCAACCTCGAGGCAATTTCGCCTGCTACTGCCTTCACAACCGACGTTCGCACAACTAAGTCCCTCAGCATTTCGGCTTGAGCGAGCTCAATTGCAGGCCCCTGCTGCCGCCGAACGGTCAAGAGCCCCAGCGTCGTGGAAAAAAGAGGCAGTTTGTCAGGACCACGCGTAAACCACTGCAATGACACTACCTCAAATTCGGTGATTTTGGGACAGCTGACTTGGCCTGGTCAGTGAGGACACCCAGGACTTGAGGGGTTGGGTTTTCACAAAAACGCACAATGTTGGGGTGGCCTCTAGCCGGCTCAGTGCTCGCCTTCTGACTTTCGGTCATTCAAAAGACTGGTGCGCGAGAGAAGCTATGCTTGATAATTGCGACCAATTTTGGGGTCCGAGGCTTTCCAGACCGGCCCACTCAACAACATTTCTCGCCCTGATGCGCCCGGGAACAGGACAAGAGAACTGAGATCCATGCATGCCAGAAGTGGTGAGCAGATCAGGTAGCAGCCGGAGAGCAGATTTGCGATGCTGGTGATACGTCGCATCTCCCCTAAGATGGGCTCTTTCGTTCAAGGCTGGTAAAATCCAGTTGAATTACCGCAAGAATCACCGCGATGCAATGTGCAGCAAATCAATCAGCTCTGTCCTGATTCTTTGGGGACACGATGTTATCCACCAAATCTTTTTGACACCTCTTTGTGGCATGCACATTGCAGCGATTTACTCTTGCCCCGCTTAGAATTATTGTCACATAGTTTTAACTCATATTTGGTCATGCCGTCCCTGAAACCTGAGCCCACGATGTGTCAACTTAAGCCACATGAATAAACGAACCCGACACAAATACAGCGGACTCGGCCGATTTAAGCTCCAGAAGATGTGAATTCTATGCATTCATCAATATGCAGTCTTTACCACCATGCTACTCATCAGTGTTTATCATATCTGACTCAAAACACATCACCGGCCTGGGCCGCTTATTGCTGGATAAGGCGTTCATGCTGCGAGTTGTGCGAAACCTGGGTGCCTTCTGTCTAGGAAGCCGTCAAACAACACAACACCGATCCCCCTGGCGTTGGGCATCACATGAGCTAAACAGTACGAACCGCTTGCAGAACAAAGACATGTTCAAGACTTGACAAATCGGGGCGATTGTGCAGGTATTCGAGTCGTTGGCGCGCCGTTGTACCTTGTAGTTGGACTAACAGGCGTATTTGCATTTACCTCGGACTAGCTTCCATGCTTGCTTCTGGCGGCCTGTCATTTGATCAGACTCTTCGTTGGGTGTTGTATCGCTTATCCGTAGAGCTGAGATGCGAGTCGCCCTTTTAAACCAGCCCTAATCCCCCTCGTGTCGCTCTGCTCCTGACTCAACATGCTGCAAATTAACTAACTAGTTACCACCTTGCGATATTGTCAGCATCGTGAGATTGCCTAGCGTCAAACATCCAGAAAGGAAACGAAGGAATAGCTTAATACCGGCTAGTATAATGATTGTGCAAAATTAGTGGTCAGTTCGTCTGTTAGCATCAGCCCGTCAGCACCCCTCCTTTTGCGCGCGCCCCCCACTTCAGCCTCACCGATACGAACAACGGCTATAAATCCCGTCGGTTCTCAAGTAACCACCAGACACAGACAAAGAAAAATCTTGAGTAGGCCTACTTCCTCATTCACTAGTCTGACTTTTCTCGGGCCTTTCCTCTTTCCTACCGAGAAGTCCTTCCTCCCAAAATGGCCGACGTAGAGTTTCTCGCCCTCACTACCAAGCCCTCGGCGCAGCTGGCTTATACCTTCCAAGCTCCCGAGGGAGCATCCGCCAAACCCGTCCTGGTGGTCTTTGTGAATGGGCTCGGCCTTCCACAAGCCTTCTGGCAGCCTGTCATTGCGCAACTGAAATCCGCTCGCCCAGGCAACAGCCCAGCCTTCTTGACGTACGACCGCTTCGGCCAAGGCCAGACGACCGATCGCGATCCCGCCGACGCCGGCGCTGAGGACCCCACCCACGGCCATGACTGCCTGGCCGCCGTCCAGGATCTCCGTCAGCTGCTCGTCCAAATCACCACCGAGAAGCTGGGGGTCGCCGACGTGAACTCCGTCTCGCTGGTACTGGTGGGGAACTCGATCGGCTGCGCGTTGGCTCGGCTTTACGCCCAGAATTACCCCGGCACCGTCGCCGCGCTGTTATTGCTCGACAGCGTCCTCGCCAACTCGGACTTTATCTCTATCTTCCCCGATCCGGATTCTCCGGACTTTGACTCAGCCAGCATTGCCCCGATCCCCGTCGAGGCCATCCGCGCGGTGCGGGCCGGCGTCCGCCGCGTCTTCCACCCGGACGTCGGGAGCAAGGAGGGTCTCAGCCGGCGGAACCTGCGCGAGCTGCTCCCTACTAGTGACAGCCCGCAGCTAGAAGGCCCTGAGGGTCACGGGCCCTATGTGACGGTCGTGGGGCACGATTTTGATGCTTTTGCGGAAGAGTCGGCCAAGATGGGCCCACCCAAGCCGGTCACGAACCGCTTCGTCAACCCCTACTGGCACCGTTATAACGAGGGCCTGGTCAAGATCACCGAGCCCGAGTACAGCAAGGGCCCCTTGATTGCGCCGAATGCCGGCCACTTTGTGCAGAAGGATAATCCGGAGTTTGTGGTACATGAACTGAATGAGTTGTTGGAGAAGGTGCTGTAGGATTCGGAATGATTACGAGAGAGCTTTTTTCTAATTCATGAACTTTAATCTTTTATCCATTTTTGCTTCTGCGCTTCTGTGTGTGGCGCATCATCACGCAGCAGTCAATATGTAATATTGTGTTGAGTTAGGATGGCTTTATCGATTGTGGTAGCTCGTATGCATCATGCAAAACCGAATCCATGACAGCAACTGGGACGATGCGACTGAGGCTATGTGCTTGGCCTGAGACAGAGAAGAGCCCCCAGGCTGTCATCCTGGCCACTTCCTGCTTTACCGCTTCAGCATTGAAATTGTAGCGGCGGACAGCTTGCCTGGATGTAAATACTAGGCTAAGTGGGGACAATTACGGCCATAGACCTATCAAGGGTGTGCTCGTATCGAGGATGCTCACCCATAAGGCACCGACCATGTGGAATTCTCCATTAGAGACATTCGGCCCCGAGTGTCTGCACTCGCGCGCCAGGTGCATAAAGGGGCTTGTGCTTGGAGCCATGCAGCTTATTACTCCCCACTGTCAATATGGAGCATCCAGGAAGCTTTGGCCAGCATGTGTGCACAGGTTAGGGTGCAGGGTCCTGGTGTTTATTGAGACGATCAACATTGTCGCGGCGCCCCCACCCTCGTCAAGTGGGCGCATATGTAGGGGTCACCAGTGGATAGGCTCGCTATTTAAGTGTGGTGGCAGACTAGAGCATCCCAGAGTAATTACGTCCCTTGTATCCTTGGCCTTGAACTGGTCCAGGTATTGAAAGGGCAGATATCGGGGAGGTGGACGGTGTGTTTAGTAACCAGAAGGGAACGAAGGTGGTCGTGGAGGGATTGAATAAGGTCAGGTTGATGCTATAATGCGTTTATTGATCGCTTCATATAAAGTACGATTCTAACTATGTTATTTAACGAGTCTCAGAAGGGGGTTATTCCTAGACTTCCTAGACTTCAGTTCTGGGATTTGTGAATAGCCAACTGAGTTATTTTTCATCCGATAGAGGTTCATCGGTTAAGGTTCTTGGGGTATAGTTGTGTCAAAGTCAGATTCATTAGGTTAATGATGGGCCTATGCCCACATTGCGCTTCGAGTGAAGGTAGATTCTCTACAATACATACTTGATACTTTAGCCGTCGATTTTCCTGGCTGTATCCATCCGGTTTCTTCTCAGCCGCCACTGCCCGCCCACCCTCTTATTTCGACCACCCTCTACAACTTCTTGTTCCATGAAGTGGTCATATCGCTTGCATAGAGCTGAAGACCCTCTAGCTCTGGCTTTGCAATCATGTTCTCGAAGAGAAAATGTTGTACAACGTTCAACCCTTGCATCAAAAACTATCGCGGAGGCTCGAGTAAGGTATCGAAGCTTCGTCTCAAGGGATCGCCCAAATGGCCACCGCGCCCCCAGCCGACGACAATGTTGGGTGTGTAGGAAAGATGGCTATTTCAGAGAAACTTTCCTTCAAAATTCCATGGAAGCTTCTCAGCTGCTTCTCCGTCTTGCCACACATTACTGGTCTGAACCACATGTCAACCACTGCCCTCGGTTGCACCAGCCCAAAAGGCCCATAACACATTCCACAAACATCACTCTTCTCGTCTATCAGGAACCATTGATAGAATAAGCAAATTACCATGTCTGCCAGCTATGCCTAATGCCTTTAAGGAGGCCACAGAAATTCTGCCTCTTTAGAAGAGGAGACGGTCGGCCGGTTGCGGGTGTGGGACCTTGCGGCCACGCTCTGCGCGGGCATTTGATGTTGGTATAGCGATAAGCTCGCCAGTGGTACGAGTCCACGTAGCTCTTCTACCTCTTCGAAAGAGCTTGACTCTCTAATTCTCTGCCCCTTTCCAGGCCCATGGGCCTGATCCCTACTCCGCAGACCCTGGCGCGCTAGACCCTTGTGGTTAGATGCACGCAGTCCTCCCAATCATTGTTTGGGGCAACGTCAACCGACGAGACAAAGTCACATCTCGCTCTCTTTCTCTCTGAGCAAGGCGGAGCTAACATGTATCTTCTCATGTCCGTTTCCACTGACCCTAAAAGGACGTGCCCGACGATCCGGACGAAAGATTGACCCCGTGGCGATAGGGTACAGCACTCATCGTGGTGAGCTTACTTGTGTTTTTGGTCGAGGGATATAAGCAATACTAATTGTTCTGACAATAGGTACCTCATCTCCGTGCGAGAACCTAGAGTATCGTCCCGCGGGCTCGCCACATCGTCCACGACAGTGTAGCGAGCGACACACAGTTTCCGAGAGTGTATGATAGATGTTCATTTGTCTTGGATGAAATTGGACATTATTTCGGGCTTCCGCTTATTTGGGCCGGTGCCTAAGGCTGGTTGGGGCTTGGGGTCAGCAGTTGTCGGGTGCCTTTGGGCGGTGGTAGATACGCGATCTAGAAGCCTGTGATAGTCCGGAGGAGGCGGAGGCACAAGGCAGAGCTCGTGATGACAACCATCTTAGGGGCTAATGCCTACAAGCTGCCTTTCTACGTGTCGGGGAACTGTGTGTACTTCCTGCTGCTGTTGGTATTGTATTGTGCAATAAGTGTACATTTGCCGATCCACGCGGGTGGACTGGTAGATCAACTCTTCAGTATCAAGATACCCAAAGTCCAACTGTAGTATGGCACCACGCGTTGGCTTATTCATCCTAGTTGGTTCCTCGGCTGTTGGGGATTCACACTCGAGAAGGAAGCCGCCGGCCTGCTTGGTTACTGGATGTGCCTACCCGACCATTGTCGAGGAGAGCTCGTCGGTAACGCCAGGCAATGACACCTTGAAGATACCGCGGGATTGCTCCCGTGTTTCGAAAAGACAGAATTGTACCCTATCCTCAGCTGATTAGTGGCTCAGAGTGACAAAAAGGGACTCTACCACAGCGATGATGGATGCCATACGGCACTGCTAGAAGGGCTCCCGCAGCAACCGGTCGAAATTCTCCAACAACACCTCCGAATCCTTCCACGCTACCGCGATACGAGCATCTCGTTCACGACATCTGGTCGGCCCGCCCACCACCACCCGCTGCTCGCCCTGGCGTAGCGCCTCCTTCACCAACTTTGATGTGCGTGGTTGACGGAGCTGTGCGAAGGCTCGGAATATCTCGGTCAGGTTCACATCCCTCAGCTGCGTGGTCTCTGCGGCGGATATCGAGCTTTGCTGGAGGTCTGGGAGCAGATGTGAAAGGTGATAGCAATCCTCCCTGCGTACAAGTTGTTAGCCTGACTGAATCCTCATTTGGTCCCAGCTTGTACGTACAGCGCCTGGTTCGCCCCCTGTCCGATATGCGGACTGGTAGGATGGGCAGCATCGCCCACCAACACGCATCGGCGTGAATACCACTGCTCCGCCGTCAATTCTTCCCGATCAAACAAGCCGTACTTGATCAAACGTTCCGCATCAGTGACCAGCTGCAAGACCGCGGGCTCGAAGCCAGCCAGTTGAGCCTGCAGTTCGCCGCGCCGCGCCGCGAGTTCCTCTGCACCGGACAGCCTCCACGTTTCCGGCTGCTCATTCGCGTCCGGTAGCGTCACTGCCCAGGAGGTATGCGTCTTGGAGACCGGATACGCGATGACATGGATACCCTCGCCGTACCAGTTACTCATCTGCCCTGCGCGGTCCTGCAGGGTCGCCGGGGTGGGCGAGATGCCCGCGGTTTGGGTCAAGCCCGTGAACATCGGAGGGCCCTCCTTGCTGTCGTGGTGGTTTCGAAGGATCTCCCGCCGTGACGCGGCCTTGATCCCATCACATCCCACGAGGAACGAGCCGGTCTTCGACTGCCCGTTGGTGAATCTGGCCGTGACGGAGTCCCCGTGCTCCTCGATGTGGAGCAATTCCCATCCCTCGCGGACCTCAATTCCCTGATCCAGGAGCAGGGTTTTGAGGCGGAGATTCAGCTCGGAGCGTCGGATGCCTACTACTGAGAATCCGTATCGCGTCTTGAATTCCCTAGCCAGGGCCGACGACGCGAGAGTGTGGCCATCGGGCGTGCCGTGCCAGTATCCGCGCAGCGGTTGGAATTCCTGCTCGAGGGACTTGGCCATATATAGAAGATTGAGGACCTTCATTCTGGGAGGTTGTCAGTATGGTGTGAATTTTGATCAGAGAGGCAGCGTGGCTAACCCGTTTGGCTGGATGAGGAGCGATGCGCCCGCCTCGCCGAGTGCGCTGACCCTCTCGAACACAATGGGCGCATAGCCTCGTTGTTTGAGTAGAATGGCCAGCACGGGGCCGGCAATTCCGCAGCCGATGATGAGTACTGTTGGCGAGGTGGCCATAGTGTTCTTCCGCAAGTGAGTTGATCCTATTGTGAGTTTCGCGACCGTGGTTTCTTATATACAGCTGGCGGTGGGGCCAAGTGCTGCGCTCTTCGGAGTTCCCGCGGAGTATCCGGGGAGGGTCCGCTGCCTTCTCCCCTTCGAAGTTGTAGTTCGCATCAAACGCATTTGAATAGGTATAAGTCAAATTTATTTCGATAGACATAACTGCATTACACGTGACCGCAACATCACCAGGCTATACTCATGCCCTTTCCTCCTGACGGACCGACGATTTCTCCTCCTCGATATACATGCTCCCCAGCTTCTCGACCGCCGTGGCGTGGTCCAGCTGGTCCAGACCCACATCACTCCGCGCCTGAGCCAGCAGAATGGCATCCTGCTCGCCCGTGCGACTGTTGAACACCCGATCCATATCCTCCAGCGTTGCGCCCTTGGTCTCGGGGAGGCAGAACCACACCCAGACAATGCCGGCTGCCAGGAAGACGGCGAAGAAGATATACGTGCCCCAGGCCCAGGCGGAGAGCATGGGCGGGACGAAGAACGCGACCGCGAAATTGTTGAGCTGTCCTCTGGTTAGCATAATCAGTCTATCACGCGGGCAAAAGAGAAACATACCCAGTTACTAGACGCGCCGAATGACGCCCCCTTGGCACGGATGGAGAGAGGGAAGATCTCGGAGACCAGGGTCCACGACGCCGGGCCCCAGGTCGCCCCGAACGCGCCCACATACACCCAGATGAATGCCACCGCCGTCCAGCCCGCGGCCGGATGGCCCGGCCAGTCGTGCCGGAACTTGGCCACAATCACCCCGGCGATGATCATCGCGATGAACATGACCGTCGACCCCAGCAGGAGCATGGGCTTGCGGCCGACGCGGTCGATGACCAGCATCGCGGGGATGGTGCACACGAAGAACACCACCCCCGTCACGCCAGTGGCCAGCAGCGCCGAGGTGCCGCTCGTCAGGCCCAGGCTTTGAAAGACGTTCGACGCGTAGTAGATGATGGCGTCGATTCCGGACCATTGTTGGAAGAACATGACGAGCCACGCCATGGCCACGCGTTTGAAGTTGTCCCAGGTGCGCACGATGTTATAGTACTGCGCGAACTCGCGCGCCAGGACGCTCTGCTTCTCGCGCTCGGCGAGGTGCGGGAAGGTCCGCGCGAACGCCCGCTGCTCGAACAGACACTCGGCCTTGATCTCTTTGTACTCGTGTTCCACCGCGGGGTGATTGGCGGCGAGCTTGCGGAGGTAGGCGAGTGTTCGGCGGGCTTCCTCGTCGCGGCCCTGCTTCACCAGCCAGCGCGGCGAGAACGGCAGCCACCAGATGCCCAGGGCCAGGCATGCTGCCGGGATGCCCTGGATGATCGAGGGGAGGCGCCAGGCCAGGTCGGATTGGTGTTCCCCCGTGCCCCCGATGTTGTTGCTGCCGTAGCCGCACCAGAAGGAGAGCATGATCCCGAGGATAGTGGCGAACTGGTAGAAGGAGACCATGAAGCCGCGGAGTTGGGGAGAGGATAATTCGGCGTTGTAGAGCGGTCTGTGGTCGACGTGGTCGCGCGTTAGCTATTTGGACCGGGCCTTGAAAAAAGAAGAGCCACTCACCCAACACCACTGAAGGTCCCGACGCCCAGCCCCGTGAAGAAGCGGCCCGCATACAGCAGGGCTGGGTTGTGGTAGGTTGCACCGCAGTAGAGGTAGCTGCCCAGGACCACCCAGCAGCAGGCCGAGAACATGGTGTACTTGCGCGAGAAGACCTCGCCCAGGATTCCCGCCGAGAGAGAGCCCACGATGCCCCCCAATTGCAGCACGGAGGTCAGCCACCCCGTGGCACTGGACGAGGCGACCACCGTGGGGAAGTTGTCCTTGAAGCGGTACATAACGAGGGACTGGCCCAGAACACCCTGCTGGTAGCCATATTCGAATCCACCGAATCTAAAAGAACTCGGTGTCAGTACGTCTCGTTCGTTGGTGGTTGATCGCAGAGGTGGGGGTGCCTCACGAGGCAAAGAAGGCAATAGCCATGAGCTTAGGGTTGTTGCGGATAATGCTCCATCGCGTCTCGGGTGGGGGATCTTCCCACTGCCCGCGGCCTTCAACGTTCGACGAGGTCATGGTCAGGGTCAGCAGCAAAGCTCTTCAAGGCGCATGCGACCGACCAGGTTGATAAGAGGTAGCAAGAGCATCTGCGTCTGCGACCGCGGCAGTCGCGGGGTTTTTATGGACTGGGACGGGGGAGCCATCCCCCACAGTTGCGGTCTGGGGAAGCTGCACAGACAACCCCAGATCCAGTGAGGAACATGACGCCTGGACTGTCCACGATGTGGTCAGGCCATTTTGTGCGGGGGTAGAGTGAGCGTTTACAATTTCCCCTCCCTTGAACGCACGATTTGAGGGGCCCAATCTATTTGGGACCGGCTAGCCACGGCCTTCCCTTCTTATTGTCTCAGCGATTAGTCAATCTCCCCGTGGGGTGGCTGGTTTCTGCAGCGCGTAGTGCGGGGGTGGCATTTCTCTCTTGGGTGGCCTAGACGAGGTGCCCCACTTGAGGCATCTTGAGGCATTACAGGGGTGACATCGCGGGAGGGATGAGGGGAGCGAAGGCTCTATGACCTTGCAATTGCCCGGGTGGTTTGCATGATGGGATGCTTGGTGCGAGGGATCAACATCGTGCAGATAACGACATCAAGGAGGAGGAACTAGAATGTTTGGTGGTGTGGAAAGTGGTGGCTCTGACTGCTGTCTAGGGCTGCAAGTGAGAGAGCAAGTGGGTTGGAGGGAGAAGCTCCAAGCCGGCGCGTATAGTTTCCTACTAACCGTATGGACCCGCGGGATCTAACCGCACTGGGAAGAACAACCGCTCTTCCAGGCTCAGGATAAGCTCTAGATCACTAGGACTGGTTTTGCAGCCCACCTGATAAATAAATTGACCGATGATCATCAGCATTATTGAACAATGGCACTAACTCATGGTGTGATCACGACGTATCTCTATTCTATATAAACTGCAAGCACTGCAAGCACTGCAAGCCTCGAGCCCCTCTAGTACTGCGACCGACACTCCCAGTTCGCCGCCTCACCTGCATCCCCCTTGCCCGTGTACACGGCCTTCTGCGGGTAGAAACACAATGGCCGTTGACGGTACACTTCATCCTGGGTCGTGTCATTCTGCCAGGTGGTGGCGATCAGCGGCTCGGGCGAGGTCCCATTCTCCACCCAGCTCATCAGGGCCAGCAGGATATCGTGCTGCGCATCCTGGTATTGAGGGACGCTGTGGAGACTCGGCGAGAGCGTGGGAGCCTGGTTGGGGCCCGCGAAGTACCATGGCGCATGCATGCTCTCTGGCGTGCCTGAGCAGTGTCTTCAGAGGTCTTATCAGCCCTGTAGTCTCATACTCTTGATCGAATCCGCAGACAGGGTAACTTACTGCATGCCAGGAACATAGAAGAACCGATAGAAGGAGTCCAGGTCAACCCCCTTGGGGATCAGCTCCTCGGTGACCTTGTTGTAGTAGTGGAGACTGCTGTCGGTGGGAATGAGCCCGTCCGCCATACCGTGGTACATAAGCAGCTTCCCGCCCTTCTGCTGAAACGGCGAGATGTCGAAATCGTCGGCCGTCGCGTTGCCGGGGTCGAGTCGATCCGCAAGCTGGATGATACTGTAATCGAACTGGTCCTGTTGCCACTGCTTGCCCTTACCAAGGAAGTACCGCACGTAATCGATTCCGAGTCCATTGGCGGTCCCGTTATTGACTAGCACACTCCACTGCGCTTCGCTGCCCGGCAGCAGGTGGGGAAAGACAAAGGTCTGGTTGACGTCGACGTAGTCGCTGTAGATGAGGCGCAGGGTCTGAAGCTGCGCCGGGGTCAGACACGTGGTGGCATTGATACCTTGACAGAGGAGCGTCTCCAGGCGCAGATTGCACTGTTGCGGCGCGGACACGATCCCGTCGGACAGTCCATCCTGGGGATCGCACTGCTTGATGATCTCGGCGCCGATAACGCTGAACATGCTTGTTGGGATCTGAGTGGCGGGGTCGGCATTGTAGCTCCCGATCTTCACCGTCCAGGGCTGCAGATGCGACGTCCACCACGCGGGAGAGCCGGCGATGACACCGTCGAAATCGTCGGGGTACAGTTCCACCGATCGCAGTCCCTGTCTGCCGCCGGTGGAGCAGCCGCTGTAGTAGTTGTACTTCAGGGCATCGCCGTAGTATTGCTCCGTCAATTCTTTGGCCAGGACCACTGAGCCGTGCATAGCGCGGTAGCCCCAGTCGATCAGTCTTTCGGGCTCGTGGTACGCCCACCGGCCGTCCGAGGAGATGCTGTTGTGTCCTGTGTCGGTCGACATGGTGGCGAATCCGTATCGCGCGCCGACGCCCTGCTTCCATCAGTTTCTGTCGAGATTTCTGAGGGTATAGACATGACTGACCATGTCGACCCAGTTGATGCCTCCCGCAAATCCTCCATTGCCGACCGCTCTGTTTTCGACCACGGTCAGCGACAACCCATGGAATTGGTTTGCTTGAAACCTACAAGAATCTGTCGTTCCACTCGGTAGGCATGAAGAGTCCGAATGTGTACGCTGAGGTTGCACTTGATGTCACGTTAATCTGCACGACACAGAGCTCAGGTAATTCGGTCGGCGACTGCGGGTACGCGATGTCACTGGCCGGGACCTCAAAGGTGTCGCCCTTCGCGATGTGGAATGCCTGCAAGACCGTGGCATTCTCTTGGCCGGCAGAGGACAGGTACTTCGAGAATGACTCGGGTGTACAGGACAGTTTGCTCTCTGCCAGGCCGAGTAACGCGCTCGTCAGCGCCAGGTGGGAGAGATAACGAAAAGGACCCATTGCGAGTATGCCGCTCGTGCTGTTTGTTGTGAAGAACTCCCAGCCTGTATGAGGGGTTGAATAGTGCTGTTTATATTTCTCATGTCTCTGAAACCTTTGCAGACCCGGTGGAGAATCGAGGGTATGGCCTCGTCCAGTGGCTCAGGGGTCTGACAAATGAGCATCCCCACTTTGACCCCAGAGCACCCTGTTCTCCTCCTCACAATGGTTGCATTTTGCGGGGATGTGGGGCACGGGCTGCTAAGCGTTGTTATGGTGGTGAATAGATTGAGGACTCCACTCCTAATTTGAGAATCGCCGGTGAAGATCGAGGAGTCAACTGCCGTTCTGAAATGCCTTCGGGAAGTTGCATGACGTCAATCTTCGGAGAATTGCACTCGCTACCCCAGATCTCACAAAATTCAAGATTTACAGGATCGCGGTCGTGTCAGTTGCCTGGTCCCCCAGGACTAGATAAAGACAGCATGGCCAGGGGCATTGCTAAAGTAGGGCTTCTCGGCAAATCTCAACCCGTACTCCCCGGGCGGCAGTTGAGTGAAGCCGATCTCGGAGTATCCTCGAGTAGTGTCATATCAGCAGCGGGGCTGAGGGCTCGAGCACCAGATTATGATTTACATGATAACGGTGAAGAGCGATACCGGTGCACGTCAGCAATGGGCTATGAGATATTCATGAATTCCCGTCCAACAAGGCAATTGTGTTGCAGCTCGGAAGGTGACAGGAACCAGCATCACGACTTGGATCTGTACAACGATGGAGAAAGCCTCACCCGACCGTGAGAGCTGTGTTCGCTCCTTCATCACTTCTTTCTTCTATCAGGTAGATCATGTTTTTGTGCTGGTCTAAGACTAACTCCTTGTTACTCCCTGATGAGATCATTGAACAATTTGAGACACAAATATGGATACCCTTGCCTTATTATCCATCCGAGGCATCTTCAGCGACTTCAACAACAAGACTCCCTGGATCTCAGAATCGATGGGTATGATTTAACGGCAGAAATCAAATGCCCGATGAGATGCGTGCTCGGGGGATTGATCGGTGTCTCGGACCGATGGGGGGATCTCCCCGCCCCGTCGGGCCCGGAGCCCCATATGTTGCAGGCAACTATATCAGGTTCGTGCCGGCCATGTCTCTGATCACGACTTGCTCCCTTGGTTGACTTTCTGGTTTTCTTTCTCTGTTCTGCTCTCTAAACCTGTTCTCTTAGGAAAGCACCCCTACCAGTCCTACTGAGTCTGCGCTCTGGACCAGCACGGTAGGCCGACTCATCGATGGGCGAAAATCGCACCATCTTGTGAAGTGGGCAGTGATCGTGACCTGGCACTCAGTCCGTCTCACCTACAGCGAATCCAAACCCGTCGCTCCGAGAACTGCAACGACTGCAACGATCAGTGATCATTGGGGAGGCCGGGACCAAGGTCCACAATGCATTGCCAGACACTCCCGTCAGACGTTTTCAACCTGCATTTCACCTCTGGTATGTGCGCCAGTCAGCTTTACTATAGTCATGATTCAAGCGAGCTTATCAGATTCCAGGGACAACGGGCTTTGCCAAAGCTCCCATGTTAACCCCTGCCCGATAGCACCTACCTACTCCTCACAGTCTTATCGCTTCACTGGCCAAGCAATGCGTCTGCGGCCCGAAGAGGTAGCCGGCAGCCCCCCATCGCTAGCCCATTGCTTCGGATTCGCTCAGGGGCTCTAGAGACAAAGTCTAGACTCAAATGCGCGACTCAAGCCGGGGATGGGGGTCGCCGACATGATGCTGATTGCGTACGGAAATACCGGAGTGATTTCGGTCACGTTTGTGGTGGGTTTGGATGAATCCGACTCGAAACGTGCGGTGACGGAGGGCAGAGTCATCCCCACACCGTGGCCCAGCTGGTTGGCAGGCGCCGATTTCTGCCCCAGTGGCTTTGCCATGCAGAAGGGGTAGGGGCGTAGCAAACCCGAAGCACAGAAGGTCATGCGCCGGGACGCTGATGGTGTACTGGTTTCATGCCGGGGATGCGGCGGTGCTGGATGACGCGGGGTATGCAGTCATCCCCGGTCGCATTGGGGATTTGGTTATCCGAGGTAGGCACAGTACTGTACATCCAGTACAGTGACCATGTTCTAGAAATTTCCCTCGGTGTGAAACGAGGCGTGAGGTTGATCATCTGTACTCGATGATAGGAGCAACTGATGGCGCATCCGGCTATCAGAAATGGTGGGATACATCTCTGTCGAACTTTAGGGCGTCATAAGGCGCGATAAGGCGTCCCGGCAGGAATCTCGGGAGTCTCTATGCAGTAAGCAGATTACTGTCAGTGAACTGGGGTTCACTGCGTCATTGAATTGTTAAATTGTCCGAAGAGTCAGTCAGGCTGACTGCGACCGTGTAATCCCATTTCGATCCCACCTCCTCGGTCATTCCGGTTGGTCCAGAAACTGCTGCTTCAGATTGGACGAATGGCTGTAGCTGACGCTTGGCGCGGTATTCTTTCCGTATTGTTACCTTCTGCCGCAAGGAGCCGGACGGAGTTGGAATGCGCCTCGGAGTCAGACAAACAGAACCCTTAAAAAGGGCACGCGCACTCCCAGCCCTCATCAGCCCTCGCTCACCCTCGGCCTTTCCTTCAACCTCGGTTCATCCTGCCTTACTACCTTACTTTGGTGCCCAGCATAAGACTCTCCCATCTATCTTAGTTATATCGATTATGCATGAACTATATCCAGCCTGAAATCCCGGACACCCACTGCCCACGACTCGATGACATCCCTCTCAAAATGCCACCCCCCTCTCCCACCGTGAGAATCGTCGAGGTCGGACCCCGCGATGGACTCCAGAACGTCGCCACCCACATCCCCACCTCCACCAAGCTCGACCTCATCCGGCGACTGCACCACGCCGGTTTGCAGAGCATAGAGCTAACCTCGGTGGTCTCACCCCGGAAGATCCCCCAGTTGGCCGACTGTCGCGATCTCCTACAGCATTCCCTGATTCGAAGTCTGGCGAGCGATCCGCATCTGCGACTGCCGGTCTTGGTCCCCAATCTCAAGGGATTGGAGATTGCGCGCTCGCTGGGCGTCAAAGAGGTGGCTGTGTTCATCAGCGCGACCGAGGGGTTCAGCCGCGCCAACATCAACTGTACTGTCGGGCAGGGGATCGAGCGAGCAACGGAGGTCGCATCCCACGCCATTGCGGCGGGTCTGGCCGTGAGAGGGTAAGCGGCGCTTGCTGAGAATATCTCTTTCCAGCATCGCACTGACTGCAGCTCCAGCTACGTATCCTGCATCTTCTCCGACCCCTTCGATGGCCCGACCTCCCCGGCTGCGGTGCTCCGCTGCGTTCGAGCCCTGCTCGACGCGGGCTGCTACGAGGTCAGCCTAGGCGACACGCTAGGCGTAGGATCGCCCGCCACGGTCCGCGGTCTGATCCGGTACTTGACAGACGCGGATGTCCCCGTCGACCGTCTGGCTGGACATTTTCATGATACCTATGGCCGCGGGGTCGCCAATGTCTGGGAGGCGTATACGTGCGGCGTGCGCGTGTTTGACAGCAGTGTCGCCGGTCTCGGGGGCTGTCCTTTCGCTCCCGGTGCCAAGGGGAATGTCGCAACGGAAGATGTCGCATACATGTTTCACAATGCTGGCATCGATACGGGGATTGATCTTCCCAGCTTGGTGAACACGGTGGCCTGGATCTCGAAACAGCTCGCAGACATAGACTCCACCCAGGCTGCTAGTGCCGTGGCTGGGAGGCTCAGCGAGGTTGCCCCTCGGACCAAGCCGCAGAGACTGCACAGCCACCTCCGACATTACGATGGGCATTGGCCGTCAATGCGGATGGAATTCAACTGCATTGGGGCAGGGTCGAACTGAGAGTCGCGCTGCGAAGGATAGCGCGCGTGAGACGATACGAAGTAAAGAACTCCTTCAATGCACGGGAATCAGTGAGATCTGCCTATGTTCATACAGGCGAAAGCGACCAGGACCGGTCGAATGAGCTCTTCTCAGAACATGCAACTGGCAAATATGGCGCCTACGGGGTGTGAGAGTTCTGGGGTGAAGTACTGGTCGCCTGGGGACACCCGTCGCCCTGGCAGCCGGGTACTGTGCAGGACATACAAAGCACTTATACGTCCTACACGCCTGCCTGTACATTACCTGATCGGCTACAGCAGGGGCAGTTCTTATGTGTACAGCCACGGTGGTTTCCACAAATGGAAGATTGTACACACATGTTTACATGATAGATGAGATAGAATTCATCACCTTCATACTGAAGTGTATAACATGCACGCATTCTCGCTTCACTTGGACGGAAATACTCCTCAAGAGCCATCACGACCAAACAAGTACTGTCCCAAACTCAAGCCTCAACTCTAATCCTTGATAAACCTCCCAGTAAACTGCCGAATGCGCTTCCCCCAGATGAATACCGGCACGCCCAACAACCCCAAAGCCCCCGTCAACCCCGCAAACGTCCCAAACGTCCCCTCATAGCCATTTCGCTCGATGAACGGGGCAACCCCATAACTCGTGCCAAAGGAGATGATCCCCCGGAAGGCACAAATGATTACCAGCAGGGGGCCCGCACGCGTCGGGTAGCTGTCCAGCAGATAGGTGATAGCCACGATGTTGGCCCCGACAAAGCAGAAGTAGTACGCGGCGACGGTCCACGCATAGATGAACCAGTGATACTCGTACGGGTGGGCGGCTCCTTGGCCGTAGAACACCGCTGTCACAACCCCCACGATGATGGGAAGGATCAACGGGATGATGCGCGTCTCGGGCTCGTGGAGGCCCCCGTTGCGCTGCGCGAAGTACCGGATCAGCCAGTCGGAGCCGTGGCCCAGCAGCGGGAGGGCGATCAGCGCCACGATGATCTGGCCGCAGTTGACGTAGCTGGCGCTGCTGTCGGGCCAGTTGTAAGGGGCTGCGGAGAGGATGGTGCTGTAGGTCGTGCCGATGGCCACATTGACGCCGATGGTGAGGCCGTTGAGGAGGAGGGCCCAGAGGACGTTGGGGAAGAGGAGAAGCGAGAAGGTTTGCTGTGCACCACAGTTAGGGCAGCGCACCATGGGCGAATGGAGGGACCCTTACCCGGAAGACTTCCAGAACCTTCGTCCAGTCTGGACTGCCAACCCACAGGCGGAGATCAGACTTCCACGTTCGGGGTGCGTAAGTGTCAAAGTCCAGCGCTGGACGCTCGGTGCAGGTTTCCGTGGGTGGATCCCCCACCTTGACATCCTCGGGTGTCCCCTCGCCCTGGTAAGAGCTCGCCGGCCGTTCATACTTGGTCTCCGGAAGGAAGCAGAAAGCCAACACGAGGAGCACGCCGGCCAGAGCAGCGCCCAGCCCGTACCACCATTGCGGCGTGATGGCTTCCGCAATGGGGGAGGCACACAACACCCACACGGAGGTGAGAGTCACCTGGATGGCCATCTGGCCCATCAGGGCCTTGCTCCGCTCGTGCAGGAAGAAGATCTCCTATCCACCCCCATTGTGCTCTCATGTCAGCAAAGTGCTCAGGCTCGACGATGGTATGATCTGACCTGCGTAATCATGGGCACTAGGGCCTCACTCTGCCCAGCTGCAAGACCCACGACCATCCGCGAGGATAAGTGCCACTCGAAGTCTTTGGCCGTGGCACAGAGGACCGCACCGATGACGAGGATGACAGTCGATCCTAGGAGGACGATTCGTCGACCCACGCCTATTGCCAGGGGCATTCCGATGAGATTGCCAATGCCCCTGTGCAGCACCCTGTGTTAGCGGTCCTCTTCATGGCGGGGATGCAACGGTTGACTTGCATGAACAGGGTAGGATAGGTCATCAGATGGGTGATATCATCGTATCCTTTGCCGACAGCGCTATACTCGGGGATGTAGAATCCCAACAGACCCCCAAACCCAGACACAAGGGCCAGCCCTAGCGTTGAGACTAAAGACATCAGCGGACGATCGACGGTCCTCGTGAGGCCGGACTCACAGATCGAGATTACCACGAGTATCACCATCTTCTGCCATTTGGGCATATTGAGAGGATCTATCATGGTCAACTCTCACACATCGAAGCGTGGTGACAGTAGGGGTGGCTACCTTGAGGATCCGCGGTGGGAGTGGGAATGTACACGATCGAGCCCTCGGTGAGCTTAACCGTGCCAGTCACCACATCGGGTTTGTCGCCCATCTGGCCCTCTTCAATATCCTCGACGTGGCTGATGCACGATTTGTCGGTGGCTTTGGCGGTGGCTTTGGCTGCTGCCATGATGATCGGTTGCTGAAAGGATGGAATTGTGTGCGGTAAGATGAGGGCACGACTTCATGAGCCTCGCTGGGATGTCTCCTCTCCTCTTCTCTCGTCTGTCGTTATATACCATTTCTCCCGTGGGCAATGGTATAGACGGTAGCTTAGGCAACTTCAGACGACAGCTGGCTTGGCTCTGCGGGGAAGCTACCCCAGACTCGGGACCTCAGCGACGCGAAGGAGCTCGGTAGTTCTGTATGCATCGTTTCGGGGGACACCGAGATTGAGGGGACGAGTCCTCGGGGGAACAGCATAGCTGGCCTGTCGGCTCTTGTTCGAGATCTTCAGTAAGGTTTCGGGGACTCTATCAGCATGAAGGGCAAGTTTGCCACAAGACGTGCACCCGCATTCCTCGAGATCATAATAACCCTCAACGTGTAGTCATGACAGCAGATCTCAGAAGGGAACTCGACGGTCGTCGCATGCATACAGAAGACACTCGGAGGCTACAAGGTGTTCTTTACTCGGCCATAGATAACATTCAGTAATTTCAATTGCATTCTGGTATTGCGTAGATGTGATATAAGACATCGACCAATCCGGTCTAATACTCCTTGACACCCGCCAATCTCAGCACCTGCTCCGTGATGACCGGCTTCTCGAATGGCTCGGCGCGGTCCTTGGGGCACACCTGGCCATCTCGCATGGGCTTCTCAGCCGCGGGTCGGATGTTGCTATCACAGTGTCAGTCCCCTTCTCAAGTTCGCTGCATGTTAGAACATACCAGTGTGGCCAGTGGGTGGTTCCAATGAAGTTCTCAAAGCAGAACTTCTTCAGCTCCAGCGCCCGCGGGGTGGCAAATCGCCGTGGCGTCATGCAGATGTACTGCACGTGTCGGATTTGGTCACCCTCCGGCAGGCAGGCGTAGTGCATCGTGCGCGAGTCCCATAGGACGAAGTCGCCGGGCTCCATATTAACCTTGATCATTTCGCAGCCGCGCTCCTTGAACCACTCGAGGTCGCGGTCGTGGAACAAGAAGAGGTCCATATACTTCAGCTCCGGGGGAGGGGCATCCTCGTGGTCGTACTGGTCGCGCTTCTGGGCGAAGAACTCGTCGAACAGCTTGGCGGAGCCTTTCATCAGCATGAGGCCTCCGTCCTTGGGGCCATTCGGGGCGAAGTTGAGGAAGCCTTGGACGGCTTGCATTCTACGGGGAGGTTAGATTGCGGTGTTGAGGTGGGGGGTAAATGTGCTGGAAAGAAGGGGTGCTGACCCTTTTCGGTCGGGATTCTGATCACAGTGCGGCCATGGGCTCCAGTTCAGGTCCTTGCGGCGGGGTAAAGAGATGTTCATGCCGTCGAAGGAGCAAAGCAGCTCTTTCGTCTCCCACAAGTCCTCGAAGATCTTGACCACGGCCGGCTCAGTGCGGGCCTCCCATGCGATCTTTTCGTGGGTGGCGGCGTACGCGTAGTACATGCTGTCCCGGAGCTTCCTTTTAGCACACATGCTCATCAATACAAGACGGGGCCAAAGACTTACCCTCCCTTGAAGCTGACCGGAAGATGCTCGCCGGTCCAAGTGCTCTCATCCTTCTCGTCAAATCCCAGGTCGAAATTCTTCAACCACTCGATCTGCTTGTCACAGTAATATTTCGCCCGTTCCGGACTGATAACGTTCTTGATCACCACGCAGCCATTTTGGTGGAATTCATCGCGCCAGTCACCGTAGGTGCGGCCGGAGAAATCGACCAAGTCCCTGATGGTGAAGGACTCGTTGGTCTGAGCGGCGATCTCTTGGATCTCGGTGACAGTGGTAGACATGGTTGACTTTCTGGTTGCGTGTGCTCGGAAATGTGGACTTGGATTGAAATTGCTGGTTTGGTGCTTGAAACGAGAAGCCCAAAGTTGAACACTTAAGTAAACGCGCCGAGACTCAGCATCTCGTATGCCCCGAGGCTCTCCGCAGACTTGGCGCTGTCTCGGTGGTCTCGGGGCTACCTCGGGGCACGTCTTGGGTGTATTCTCGGCGGAGGACATGCAACGAGCACCGAAAGTGCGGGCGCTTGACCCCCGAACATCCCTGAAGCTTGCCCCGAGCAGCCTCGGCGGCCTTTGCCAAGAGGGAGGTAATGCGGGGGGACGGGGATACCTATGATAGGATATGATCCGCAATACCTCCCCCATCTTCCAACCTGTTATATATACGAGACCATGATTGGCAAAGGTCATCGCTCCATCAGCTCGTACGTCACACACGCAAGAACAGCACAATCGGAACCGCTCGTTTACAATGCCTCCTCCTGTGCAATCCGCCTACAAACGCATCCAGCAGCCCCGAGAAGGGGAGAATGGCTACATCAGCCCGCAACCCGGCAAGACAGAGATCCTCCCTACAGGATGGAACGGATTCAACGCAAAGCCTTTGAAAAGCCCGATCCGGATTGACCATGATGTCGAAATCGTGGTGCGCGATGGTTGTCGATTGTACGCGGACATTTACCGTCCAGCCGACACCACGGAGCCAGTCCCAGCCATCTTGAGCTGGTCGTTCTACGGCAAGAAATACAGTGCGCTGGAGATGCTGCCCATGTGCACGTGGAATTGCTGCGTGCCTCGATCGGACCTCAGTGGTCTCGAGAAGTTCGAGGGCCTTGATCCCCAGACCTGGTGTCCGCGCGGCTATGCCATTGTCAGCGTCGACACGCGGGGAGCGGGCAACAGCGACGGCATGATCTGTGTGATGGGTTCCCAGGATGCGGAAGATGGGTACGATGTGGTCGAGGCCTTAGCCAAGATGGACTGGTGCAACGGTTCCATTGGCATGGCGGGCAATTCGGCTTTGGCTATCTCGCAGTGGTTTATCGCGGCGCAGCAGCCCCCCTCTCTCAAAGCAATCGCCCCTTGGGAAGGGTCCGGCGATATCTACCGGGAACAGTTCTGTCGGGGCGGCTGGTTCTCCATGAGCAACTTCGACCTCATCACCGGTGCGATCGTGCGTGGGCACGAGAATTCCGGAATCGAGGATTTCGAGGAGATGTACCGGCGCTCCTCTACATCGAGTCCGTTTTGGGAGGACAAGCGGGCGGACATGACTCGCGTTCAGTGTCCGGTCTACATCCGAGGCTCGGACGTGAGTTCCATCCACACAATGGGCTCCGTGCGCGCATGGCTCGAGCTGCCGCACGACCAGAAATGGATCCGATGGGGCAGCAAGCAAGAGTGGTACGAGCTGTACAGTTGCCCTGAGTCCCTGGACGAGCTCTTCCAGTATTTTGATCGCTACCTCAAAGGCATCTCCAATGATTGGGAGAAAACGCCCAAAGTGCGATGGTCTGCCCTGCAGTTCGGTGACCGCGAGGCCATCGACGATATCGAGCTTCCGGATTTTCCGGTACCATTCACCGAGTATCGCGAGTTCTTCCTGTCCGAGAACCGATTGAGCGCCGCACCAGTAGCGCAGTACGAGAAGCTCTCGTATGAGTCCGATCAAGTGAACAGCCTCCTCGCCTTCACTCATACCTTCGACCGGCCCGCTCGGTTGATCGGCCTTCCCAAAGCCATCTTGTATATGTCCTGCGAGGACCGCGACGATTTCACCGTGTTCGTCATCCTCCGCAAGCTCGATCGCAATGGCAAACCACTGATGCACCTCAACTTCCCCATCCACGCGACCCCGGTGCAGTCGATCGCGGAGATCCCGACCAAGGATCAGGCAAGCCTGAATCTGCACCTTGGATCGGTCGGCATTCTTCGAGCTTCACATCGCGCGTTTGATCCAGCCAAGAGCATCCATTCCCAATTTCCGTTCCACCCCCATAACAAGCAAGACAAGGTTCCGCCGGGTGAGGTTGTCAGGTTGGAAATCGGGATCTGGGCCATGGGGGTTGATTTCGATGAGGGAGAGTCGATCAGCATTCAGGTAAGTGACTCTGATAGCTCCAGTTGAAGGAAAGAACTAATACCGGAGCAGGTGTCGGGGCAGTATCCCAGCATTGCCGAGTACAAGACGTGGTCGAAGCCGCGGCCGGAGGAGGAATTGAATCGCGGCAGGCATTATGTGCACTGCGGGGGCGACTATCCCAGCTCGGTGATTCTTCCCTTCATATGAGGAGGAGATCAGAGGTCATGATTCGGTTGCAGTGGCATGAAGATAGAGCCTAGTAAATGCAAGAGTTGTGTCCAAAGACTAGATGCTAGAATCGCTTGGAGACTGTTGTCGACAGTCAGAATGTTGGAGTCGCGGATGAGTGGAGTCGAGTTGCCGGGGGTTTGTGTTTGCACGCTTGTGTGTTTGCGTGTTTGCATATTTGCATGTTTGCATGTCCAATCGCCCCGTGCCATGTGATCGGGCGCCATTCTGCCTCAGGCCATCATGATCTTGCTTCCTCACTCTATCTTCTCTCCATGCCAGTAACTTAGAATCAAGTTAACCCTGAATGACTCTGAATGATGCCGGAAGTAAACCTGGCCAAATAACTTAAGCTATCTGTCATTTTCATTACTCATTCTTCAAATTGTAACGGCCATCGATCACTTCCATGACGAGCGCTGCTCCCGCGCGGTGGTGAGTACCTTGCCGGATGTGCCGGATCTCTCGATGCTGCTCTTATCGGATCAAAGCTTCTTTGAATTCATGTACTAGGCGGTAGGTATATCAGGCATGACAATTCAGTTTGAATAAGGTCAATCAACCTGGAAGGGCTTTATCAGGTGGTGGCTGACCGTACCGCAAACCAGCGGATGCCCAGGACCAAAATATGTTTCTCCGCAAAAGCCAATAGATCGAGCAGTTAGATTCGAGTGGGACGAAGGATGGAAGGACCCAAGACACAGAAAAATGCAGATATGGAATGTTCCGATAGCGTATGTCAAGACACCTGACAAGCTCATGTCTGTAATACTAACATCCCGGTCCATTGATTGCGGTGAACCAGGTGTATGGATACCTATAGGGTCTCGATGTCGGACTGATAAGACCGCGTGGGGAAGCTTTTTCTTATCAGCTTATCAGCCGTGGCTCATCCATCTATCCATCCTGCACTGGCAAGGTCCCCACCACAACGGAATCCGACATCGGGTTCGGCTTCCAGGTTCTCCAACTCCTCCAACTGCTCCAAAAAGCACCAAGCCAGCCCCACGCTGCGATAGTGAAGCCATTGGCCGACCTGATGGTTGATCTTAGATAACCGCCAAGCGGGATCGAACTGCCAAGCTGGATAGATTCAAGACGGAAGCATGCACTTAGATAATTGCCAAGATAGACTCAAAAATGATAACCGGCGATGGTGCCAAGATGAGCAACGGATGTAGGTATAAATTACATGCAGGTCTCTGCTGATACTCCGCCTTCTTCATCACAATCATCTACATTCTCGATCACTATGGCTATCAAGTCTGTTGTGCTCTCCGCGCTGGCGACGTTGGCGTCGGCTTCACCTCTCCTTCATGCCCGTGACAGCAATAGCACAACTTATGTCTTCACCAACTCCAATGGCTTGAATTTCACTCAGATGAACGCTTCCTTGCCCAATGTGACCATCTTCGCTACTGGTAAGCCAACCCCCCCTGCCTCCTGCCTGCTACCACTAACATCGTCGCAGGAGGAACCATCGCCGGCTCCGACTCGAGCTCGACCGCCACCACCGGGTACACCTCGGGGGCTGTGGGCGTGTTGACCCTCATCGATGCCGTCCCGTCCATGCTCGACGTGGCCAACGTGGCCGGGGTGCAGGTTGCCAACGTCGGCAGCGAAGACATCACCTCAGACATCCTGATCTCCCTATCCAAGGACATTACCCGGATGGTGTGCGACGACTCGACCATGGCGGGTGCGGTGATCACCCACGGCACCGACACGCTGGAGGAGTCGGCCTTCTTCATGGACGCGACGGTCAACTGCGGCAAGCCCGTCGTCATTGTTGGTGCCATGCGTCCTTCGACGGCCATCTCGGCCGATGGTCCCTTCAACCTGCTCGAGGCTGTCACCGTGGCCGCCTCCCCCAAAGCCCGCGACCGCGGCGCCATGGTCGTCATGAACGACCGCATCGCCTCCGCCTACTATGTCACCAAGACCAACGCCAACACCATGGATACCTTCAAGGCCATGGAGATGGGCTTCCTGGGCGAGATGATCTCCAACAACCCCTTCTTCTTCTATCCGCCTGTCACCCCCACCGGCAAGGTGCCTTTCGACATTGCCAATGTCACTGAGATCCCGCGCGTGGACATCCTCTTCTCCTACGAGGATATGCACAACGACACGCTGTACAATGCTGTCGAGAGTGGCGCCAAGGGTATTGTGGTTGCCGGAGCCGGAGCCGGAGGCGTCACCACCTCCTTCAACGCCGCCATCGAGGATGTCATCAACCGTCTGGAGATCCCCGTGGTGCAGAGTATGCGCACGGTGAATGGTGAGGTGCCGCTGTCGGATGTCAGCAGCGACACCGCCGCGCATATCGCCAGTGGGTACTTGAACCCCCAGAAGTCGCGCATTCTGTTGGGTCTCTTGCTGGCCGAGGGCAAGAACCTGACCGAGATTGCCGATGTGTTTGCCTTAGGCACGAACGCTTGAATGGGGGATCGAATGATGGTGATGATGAACTGGTCTCGCTGGAGGCGAGCTCAATGACTGTATATAATCTCATGATAGATAGAATTCAATTGATGATCATGGTCACTACCTCGATGCTTGGTTAACCCCTCGCAGCAATTACTCCTCCTCCTCGCTGGTGTCATCCCCACGCACCAAGTCCGTACCAAGCTCCATCTCCCCGATATCGTCCGCTTCCTCCAGCGCATCAAAGTCTAGCAAACAGTCATCATTGTCTAGAAACGCGCTATGGAACGTATCCGTGACCTCCGCGCTCGTGGCCAGGACCTTGACCTGACACGCCACGGACTTCTCGCGAGATAGCCCTAACAGCGTCTTCAGCACGCGAAGCATGTCGCGTTCGTGCTCGTCCGTCTCGTACCATCCGATCTCATCCACGATGACGATGACTTTGACTCCCTTGGGGAGTTTGCGAACCAGCCAGGTAAGCAGCTTGCAAAGCCCGTCGGCGCTGAGGTTCCGTGGGTCGCGGAGGTAGGTTTCGATTTCTTGGACGGTGTCCTGGTCGAAATCATGCTGCTGCAGCAGCTGGGCGAGAAAGGCTTCCGTTACCCCTCTTCCAACTGCGGTGTTGCCGTGGTGATCGGTTTCGTGAAGGGAGCAGAACCAGGTTAGGCGCAGGTGTCCTGGTTGGCTTTCCAGCGCTGCGTAGATCAAGGCAGACAGGAGAGAGACTGCGGAGACCTCGCAGCCCTCGGACTCGGCGTCTCCTTCGATGAGAAGCTCGCGAGATGCTGGGTATGTAAGCCATCGTCGGAATTCACCCGTCGTGAGAGCTGACTCTGCGCGTCGTCGCGCAGCGGGTGCAATGCGCGCGCGATAAGACAGGATGTAGGCCACGTCTTGGGCTTCGGAGGCGGTCACATTGAGCATAGCCAGGAGGTCAGCCACGGTGACTGATGGAGGGAGTGGTTCAGGAGTGGCTGGTGCAGAGGGCGCGATGAGCTGGGGGGCTTGCATCCAGTTACCAGGAGGATACTGGGGCAATGGGAGGAAATTAGGGTAGAAGGGCACTTGGGTCGTTGGAGGTATCCAGGGCGAACAGGCAATGGGCTGTGCCAGAGGCTGTGGACTTGGAGTGTTGCGCTTCCTCAGTTCATCTGGGATTCACTTGGTTAACGGTACTCATAGCACTGGTGATAGAATGAACTTACCCCAAAGGTGCTCGAGGAGATGGTTAGTCTCGTCGGACTGTCTTCTTGCCATCTCTTCTCTCCGTCTCTCCCGCTCCTCCCTCTTCCTCTCTCTTTCTTCCCATTGCTTCTCGCGTTCCTCTGCCACCTGGAACAACCCGTTCAGATGATTGAGCATCCGGGTCATCTGCTGGTCTGCAAGGCGCTGGCGGTCTTTCTTGGCCTCGTCCAGCTTGTCCGAATTGGCGAGAGTGACTGCTGCCGTGACCTCCTTACCCCGGATCAAGTCCTCCAGCGCCACGCGGGTGCTGTGCATCTCTGCTTTACGCGCCTGATTTGCCAGTTTTGAGCTATGTTTTTGGATTACATCAATGCTGCCCAGGAGCTTGTCCTGGTACTCACTGCCCTGCGCCAGACTGCGCCAGGTCCGCGAGACTAAAGACATGTGAAAGTTAGTGGTCGAGCGGTTCATTCAACCTGAAAAACAATAGAAGCCCATACACTCATGGCTCAAGAAAAAGGCGATCGCATTCTCGATCGCCTGGAATATTGCGACCACCAACGTGATCGACGTCTTCCGGATGATTCTGTCTCTGGGAAACGTCGCCATGAAGAACTCGATACTTTCAAAGTCGTCTTCCAACGCCTCAGGCTCGAACGCCGTGGTCACCTTCTCGCGCACTTTCGAGGCCATTGCCGCCGCCTGCACCCAATCAGTATCTGAACCAACCACGACACGGTGCCACTTACATCCAGCAGGATGTCTATGGTCGCAATGAAAGGGGAAATATATTCCACCTGAGCAAGTAGCTTGCTCACCATCTTCGCTTGCTCGGTGTGGTCCGCCGCTTTGCGATAGACCTTTTTGAACAACCCCTTCGCCGTGGTCCGCTTCGGCACCTCATAATGGCTCTGCGCCTTGTCGAGTTGGCTGCGCACCCCCTCCCAGTTGGATTGGCTGCGGATACTGCATCCCTTGGTGACCAAGGGCCCAGCCTCGGGATATTTCTTCTTCAACTCGATCATACAGTCTGGAAAGATGTCCGACCAGAATCTCATCGCGTCGACTGCTGGAAGAGCCGGTCGCGGCGGGATGATGTCGTCTTCAATCGGACTGGTGGAAATGGCGGTTGGGGAGACATACTGTCCCCCCTTACAGTCATACTTGATGCCGGGATGGTCGAAAACTGGGTTGATTTGGGGCAGGTGGTGGTCGATGAAGTCTACCGAGGCGGTGCGTGTCGGGGGGTTGCCTGGTGCACCCATGGCTAGTCCCCGAAGACTTTGTCGCTAGATTGCGTTTTCTAAAAAGGATCTCGTCTCTCAGATTCGAGTAACAATGTTGGGGATAGTTATGTAAGACTTCCGAGGGCAAGACTAAACGCTTGAAATTAAGTTGTAGCGGGAGGTGGTGGGAAGCTCCCAGCGCGGGACATCTTCAGTCCCAGGCTTCGCTCCGAGCAGCTGCCAAGGCTAGCTACTTGCTAATGATCGAGCCTGATCTTGACCAATGCTCCAGACAAAGCCAGGTGGGGATCATGTCCCGATGGATGGAGGAAAGTCAAGACACTTCGAGGTGGAAGAGGAGCGGTGCCAGGTGACTGCAGATACAAGCCCGCGGACATGCAGGATCAGAGGATGCGGAATCAATACGGGCTTGAGGGGCTCGGGTGGCAGTGTGGGAAGCAGTGATTGGAGTGAAGATCGTCCCAAGACGTGTGAATGGCGTGCAAATTGACCAACCTGCATTAGCGTGTCTGGCAAGTTCAGTGCAGTGCATCCCAGCCTTGCCCTAGCTGGCCCCGCCCATTCTAAATCACAGGTTGTTTACCATTCACTGTCCAGAGAACCCATCTGCACAGGCAGCAGTACACGGGCCGGCAAGCAGTTGGGATGTCAGGAAAATGATTAAGAATCTACTCGAGCTGTTGCTGTTCCGCTGATTAATTCTCTCTTGTGGAAACGTGGCTGTCATCTGGACAGGCGGACGTGGAATAGCCTCGTAAGCACTAGGGGCAAACGGGAAGTCAAGATGGGGGCGATTGCGCTCGGTCCCGCTTGCACGCTAACCCTCATCTTATCTCTGCACTGGGTCTCTGATTTAAAGTACCAAGTACCCATGCTCCCATCCAGCCTTGACCCCATGTCCTTGCAAACTATCTTTGCTTGTATCCTCCACACTAACAGCTGATTGAGACGGAGCCGCTCCAGTTGCGTCATGGCGGTCGTCGAAAGCCCAAACGGAGTTGATCTGCTGCAGCGCAGTGCAAGCCCCATTGCAGCACTCGACTCAACTGATGGCAGTGGAGACAGCCATACAGCGACTAGCGATGCGTCTTCCGAGAGCTCGAATGTGTCGCCACATGGCGAACCTAGTATAGATGCCTCTCAGGCAGCATCAGCAAAGCACGAAGCAGAGCCTACAATCCAGGTTGCCGACCTACACAAGCAGATCCAAATAATCCAAGAGCAGTTGGAGAACGAGCGGGCGCAACGGAGGATGATGGCGGAGCGAGCGATGGGACCGAGTGAGATGGGTGGTGCTTCGTGGAGTCGACCATGGTTGTATGAGTGGGACATGTTCCGGCCAGAGACCTACTCCGACCAGAACAGCAGATCCTACTACATGAGCCGTGTGACCGAGCCTATCGTCACCGATATGGCCCAGGTGCATGAGCGCAAGCGGATCATGATGGGAGTGGTCGAGGCGGAGCTCAAATGGCTCAAGAACGAGGACGACGCCTACACAACCATGGTGAAGGAGAAGGAGGACCTCAAGACGGAGAACACCCAGTTGACGGAACGGTTGACCATGATGGAAGCCCAAGTGCGCCAGTGGGATCCCAATCTGCTCTCCGAGAAGAAACCCACCAAGCATTCCAAGGCAACGGAGAAGAAAGGGAGAGGTGAGAACAATGAGGATGATGAGGATGACTCGTCCGTGAAGTCCCAGCAGTGGCCGACGGCACAGCTCAATCGCGTGGAATGGGCTTCCTTTTCTGCCCCTTATCATCAAGTGAAAGAGACCTTCGCCATCGATGTGTTGGAAGGGGAACCGGTCATTAGCTTCATGTCCTATTACCGGCCCTGGTGGACCATGAAGAAGAGCGTCTCGGAGGAGACAAAGGCCCCTGCAGCCAAGAAGAGACTCGCCCCCCCTGGCCAGGGGCCCATGCCCGAACGCATTCGCATCAACTCCCGGCAGATCCTCAAGATTCTTCAGAAGCTGGAACCGGATAATTTCACCGACGAGGACGAATCCCTGATTATGATTCGGCCGTTCAAGGCCCTGGTATTCTTTGAAGATCAGCTCCGCCAGATCCATCAGGTGCTTCTGGAGAAGCATCGAGGGGCACAGTCGAAGTCGCCCGAGGCGAAAAAGGACGAGGAGACAGCAGGCTCAGGGGAGAAAGAAGCTCGTCCCAGCTCTCCAACCGCCGCAGACCGACCGGAAGAAAACCGCGAAGGCGAGGAAAACCAAGGAAACCCCGTGAGCGAGGTACTGAAAGACGAGTTCACCTCCTCAGAAACCGCACTCGAGCAGCTGCAGGTGTTGATCAATTTTCTTGACGTGGATGTCAAAGCCAAGATGGATTACGTCCGCAGCGAGCAATGCCACCGGGTCTCCTTTGCTGATGTCTGGTATCTTTTTCGACCCGGGGATGAGGTTGTCGACCAGGTAGGGAAGCAAGCATATCGGGTCATCGGCGTCACCAGCTCGCCACATAAAGTGATGTCTCCCTACCGAAACTGGGAAACATCCAGCAAAGATGAACCTACGGTGATGCTGCAATGCGTTCACATCGACTTTGACGGTAAATATCTCGGGCCGGTGCTGCAAACGTTCCGGATCGCACGGTTCGACGGCGAGAAGGCCATCACCTCGCTTCGCGTCTTCCCTATCCGCCTGGCGGGCACGAGAGCGGGCGACCTGACGAGCATCGTGGATGTTCGCCAAAAGCTCATCGCCCGTGGCAAGATGTTCATTGATGTCTTGGCCAAGAAGCACATGCACTACAGTGGACTGACGCTGGAGACTCGCGATGAAGTGGACGGCCAAGTGGTGATTGACTTCGAGAAGGCCTTTGAGAGCGAAGACAAGTCCAAGCAGCCGGCCGAACTTGGCGACAATAACGGCGGGGACGGTGGAGAGGAAGAGCTGGAGAAGGTGTGGCGGCCAAAGATCCGTAGTCTGATCAGCATCGAGGTCCCTGATAATCCCGCATCCGACTGCACGGCCGCGTGCTGCGCCAGAGAACGCGTCCACAAAGACCTCTATGCCGAGCAGAAGCGGAACGAACACTATCGCAACAGCCTCATTCCAGAGGAGCTATCCCAGCAGCCCTCTGCTGCCATTTACCCTCGGGTGAAGAATTCCCGAGCCTCCGACGACGCCCTTTCAGATGATGATTTTGTGATCATGAGTTATCGAGTGTTCGGCTTCAGTCTGCGAAGTCGCAAATGGGGTATGCCACAGCCGTGTCCGGAGATTGTAAAGTGTAGTAGCTAATGTGCCTTCCCTTCTGCAGAAAAGCTTGACCTCACCCATCTCAGCTATATCCGAGGCATCCGGGTGGAGAGCAAGGGCGAGGACCAAGGCAAACCGCAAGTCCGCGAGACGGCTTTCGATCAGCTGGTGCTGGAGGAAGGACACAAGAAGATGCTCTTGTCTTTGGTCGCACAACATTACCGTGACAAGGAGTCACCCACCGCTGCGAATGAGCAAGTCGATATTGTGCGCGGAAAAGGTCGGTCTGGATGGGAGGTTGTATACCGCTAGTATCGATGCTGATGGTTGGGCGTTAGGCAAGGGACTGATTATTCTACTCCACGGCGCTCCCGGAGTGGGTAAGACCACCACGGCAGGTGCGTATGAAGTTTTCCTTCCTGGTTGAGGAGATAATTGACCTTTGACACAGAGGGCGTGGCCGAGCTCTTTGAGAAGCCTCTTTTCCAGATCACTTGCGGTAAGCTTATTTGTCCCACAGCTCAAGCTGGCAACTGACACCCATTGTAGGTGACTTGGGCACCACGGCCGAGAGCGTTGAGCATGCTCTCGAAACAAACTTCGCCTTGGCTCATCGATGGGGCTGTATCCTCTTGCTGGATGAAGCTGACGTGTTCCTGGCGAAGAGAACGCCCCAGGATTTCAAGCGGAATGGCTTGGTGTCCGGTATGTTCGAAAGTCCGCGAGCATCGAAGAAAGGCTTGGGATTACTGACCCATGTTTCTAGTCTTTCTGCGGGTGCTTGAATACTATGCCGGAATTCTCTTCCTCACGACAAACCGCATTGGCGACTTCGACGAGGCGTTTGGATCCCGTATCCATATCAGTCTTCACTACCCCCAGTTGACGCTCCCAGCCACGAGAGAGATTTTCTTGCTGAACATGAGGCTCATCCAGCAGCGATTCACGGAAAAGAAGCGAAACATTACGGTCGATCGGGACGCCATCCTGGCGATGGTGGAGAAGTATTGGAAGACGCACAAGAAGATGCGCTGGAACGGCCGACAGATCCGCAATGCGTGTCAGACAGCTTTGGCCCTGGCTGAATTTGAGGCTGGAGGCGGCAGTCATGAGAAGATCATCGATCCGACCGCAGAGGTCAGGCTTAGCGTCACGCATCTCGAGACAGTGTCCAAGGCCTACCTTGAGTTCATGCAGTATCTGAGGAAGCTCTACAAGGTGGATCAAGACCGCTTGGCGCAGCGACGGGGTGTCCGGGCGAGGGAGCTGGATGACAAAAAAATGAATTTTACGGATGACGAGGAGGAGCATTCAGATTTCGATGATGAAGCAGACATATTCTCCCTAGGCAAAAAGACCTCCTCGTCCAACCCGGAGACGCCGACGCCAGGGCTACTCTCACCCTCCGCCCTCTCTCAGTCCCTCACGCTGAACTCGTCACCCACGCCTGTGTCGCCATTCAACGGCATTACCAGTGCGCAAGAGACTAGCCATGCGCCCCAAGCAACAGCTCCGCCAAGCTTTCCCGGCTATTCCTCTCAACTACCTGGATACCCTCAGGCGTTCCCCCAGGGATGGCCCCAGGCAGCTCCGCCGCAAATGCAGGCAGGCTTCGGGTACGGGCAGCAGCCGCAACAGCCACCTCAGCAAATGGCGCAAATGTGGCAAAATATGAACCCAGCCATGTGGCAGCAAGCCATGCTTCAGGGCCAGATGCCCCCTCTACCAGGGATGGGTCCAGGAATGCCAGGCCAGCAGCCACCCCCGGGAGGACCTGGAGCCGAGAAGCCTTAGGATCTTGAAATTGAAAGCTGGGCGGGTGTGTACACCCATCTACACTTGTAAAATTACTGGAGAACTATATTAAAGGGGATGCCAACCAGATTTCATTTCGCTTAATATATACATCATCATCGACAAAAGGCCCCGCTTCACAAGCTTTTCTGCAGCGGGGATCAACCTCAGAAAACACTAAACAAGCACTCGCAGTCGATCTCAAACATTCAAGCAAGGAAGCTCTTCAGGTAATCCAGCTTGCCAAGGGGCACACCCTGAGCCCGCAGGATGGCGTACGCGGTCGTAATGTGGAAATACACATTGGGCAGTCCGAAATTGAGGGCGTAGGACTCGGGAGTGAACTCGACCTCGTGGTCGCCCAGGGGCGCCTTGAACGCCGTCTGCTCCTTGCCGGCAAAGCCCGCGGGGGTGAGCTGCTGGATCTCGGCGAGGGTGGCGTCGATGCTGGCGTAGAGCTCCTGGTAGGTCTTGGCCTCGGGCAGGGGAGCGGGGGGCTCCACGAGCTGGGTACGGGCGATGGTCTTGCGGATGTTGAGCACGGTGGCAAAGATCTGGAAGGATAGGGGCTTCATGTCCTCGTGGAGACGGGCGTTGAGGAGGGTGTCAAGTGCGATGCCCCTCTCGGTGGCATGCTCCTCGCCCTTCTTGAGAATGTGGGAGAGGGTCTGGAGACCATTGGTGAAGGTCGGGATGGTGATGGTGTACACGGTAGAAGACATGTCTGCGAGGAGTGTTATTGGAAGGAGATGGTGTGATTTAGTCCGATGATGATTGCTTGGTTCATACTATGTACTGAGTAGGTGGTCTTATAGTTGGTGTCTTAATAGTGATCTTACTATTATTGTGGGGAAGGGAAAGGGGGTGGGGAATGAAATTAGTAATCGGGCTTCCATCAAGTTCTATCCCCAGATTTGGGAGGGAGGGGGGTCAGCTTCGCTGCTTCACCACCTAACCACCTCCTTTCGAGTCTGACAAATCAACTTAAATCTGCTTCTTGAGAAGGATTCATTACTAATCTGGTGTCTCAGAGGCTGACTAGCGGTCAGATCAAGCAAGCGTCCCATGGTTGTGACAAAGGATTGTCATGGTTCCATTGACACCCGAGCAAGGGACTCAGAGCCATGGTTCAACGCAATCGACTCAAGTAAAGAAGCTTCCCTTCCATGCAGCTGCGACTGCCTGAGCCACAGCATCCTGGATCACAATCCCCGGATGAAAGTCGTTGAACCAGAGACACGTCACGCCGTCGGAATTCCAACAGTCCGCCGCGGCTCCGCCGCTGTCCAGGATATTGTTGAAAACCGGCTGTGTGTCAACGACCTTGACGATGGCGTCGTGATGGGTTTGAGCGAGTGCCTCGACTTTCTCGACGAGGATTGTGTTCCAGTGCTCAATGGCAGCTTTCAGGCGAGGGATCGTGTAATCCGGATCCGACCCTTGCATGATGTTCGGCGTGCGTTCGATCGCTGTACACCAACTAGTCAGAGAGGAGCTTCAGGGCCAGGGAATGGGGAGCATACGAGGGACAGTCAAGAGAGCAAAGTTACGGGCGCCTCCCTGATACACATGCTCGATTTGCTCGAAGAGCTGATCCAGAATCTCCCTTTCCAAGGCGGCGGCGCTGGTTTGGTACCAGGATCCTGCTACGTCGTTGACGCCTCTGGTATGGTCAGCATGGGACACTTTCTGAGCGTCGATCACTCAAGCTAGCAAGGGCAGCCTTACATCCAAACTGCAAAAAGAGTGTTCTTCGCATCCCATGGTGCCCAAGAAGGTGGTGGGGATAAATACTCCTGAAACTCGTCTACCTGATCAATGATGGAGTACACCGTCGGGAGATACGGCGCAACGAGCGAAGCATTGACTGTAGCTCCTCCATAGGCGAGATTGTAGCTCAGGAGCAGGGAGTTGTTGTATTTGGCAACGATGTCCGAGATCCAGTTGGTTCCTCCAGACGCGGTCCACCCCGGATAAGGAGGGTTTCCGAGCGGGTTCGCAGCGGAGGGCTTGGTGCCGGTTACATCAAAGGTAGTGGACGTGTATGAATCTCCGAAACTGATCACATACTTGGTTGTAGCAGCGGCTGACCAGGCTAAGGCCAAGCTTGCCCCGGCAAAACCAAATACTGTTTTCATCTTGCCAGACAGAATCGACTACCTCGAGGACTCCGACCAATCAATGTCGAGTCACTGTCGAGGCATATATCCCCAACCAAAGGGAGCGATGATCGGGTAGGGTGGGGATCACTAGATATAGCCCAAAAAAAAGAATATCAGAAGCATGTCTCCTACAGTCATGCTGGACCCAAAGGTTGGATGGCAGACACATTAGGCCAATCAGGGTTTGTGGCTTGCAGGTATACTTCAGTTCTATTTATGTTCTGTGGCACTATCCCCAATTAGCAACGGAGCTTCTGGGACAGGTTCGGAGTAAGCACTCGGCGGGGACAAATTTTGTACTGCATGAAAAGTGCGCAATGTTCCGTGTCTAAGTGACCACGGGCTTGGCAATTCTCTGGCCTTGGGCTTTCATACCTCCACTGAGTGTAGAAGTGGTCGAGAATCAGGTAGGCCTGCAATGGCACTGTGCTGCATTAGGGCGACCCTCCGCCCGACCATTATTTAAATTTCAGCACAAGATCTGAAGTAGTTCGTAACCACATTGCCATCTTCGAAAGGCAAGGTATATATTTTATAAGATGACTATGTGCATGTGAGTCAAAGCTTCCGACAATATACTGAAACGCCAGATGGTCACAGTCCCACAAATGACGAGCATTCTAAGGCGATCAGAATCCTGGATGTCCGACCTCAGCGAGTGCCTCCTTGACCACTTCTTCCAAATGCTTCTCCGGCAATCCGAGCTCCTTGTTGCGCACCGGCTGCACGGGTTCGAAGTGACCACTGTATTCGCCCTGTGTGAACCCAATGTTGATCAGGCCGTAACCAGCGAAAGCGTCACCCTGCTCCCAGGCGGCCTTGAGAGTGGGAATCAGCTCCTTGGTATTGATAGACTTGCGCTGCCATTGCTCCCCAGTCAGCCGCTCAATGGTCTCCACGAGCTCCTTCTGGGAGGTGGCAAAGTCACTGGTGAAGACGATCTGGTTGGCGGTGGAGCTGGGGTTCAGCAGGATCCGGTTCAGCGTGAGGGCGGTGTTATCAAGGGTCGTCGTCGAGAACTTGCCGGTGCCGTCATCGGTCAAAGTCATGGTGCGGTTGGAGTAGTCCAGACCGAGGAAGTTATTGCGAAGGGACCTACCTTCATTAGCGACGAATCTTGCTGAGTGAATGGGGCACGTACCAGCCAATCCACATGCCACAAGCAATGGCCGTCCAAGTCAGACCATCGGCCTCTTTCGACCGGAGGTACGCTTGCACTTGCCCCTTGTCCTTGAAAACTGGCGAGAGTTCCTGTGCAGCGGGGGTGTTGTTATCCAATCCGTATTCCGATGGCACAAAGCGCTTGACACCCGCGGTGATGGCGGCGTCAATGAACTTCAGCTGTTCGGCGACCGAGAAACTTGTGATGGCATTGACAACCGCATCTTGGCCTTGGAAGGCCTTGATCAGGTCTTCCTGGGGGTAAGAGTCCGGGATGGTGATGATGTTGGCAGTGGATGGAAGACTGGCGCGGGCTTTAGATGACTCTCTGGTGAGAACGCTGACTTTGAATGTTGGCTCAGACAGTAGTGACTTGAGCAGAACACTTCCCAGTGAGCCACCTCCCTGTGAAGACCGATTAGCAAAGGTTTCTGGTATCAGACAGGCGGCCATACCCCGACGAGGATGATATTCTTGTAGCCCTGTTCGCTCATGGTGAGAAAGTCGGTATCGGTCTAAGTATCCGTGAGAGAAGAGAGGTGAGTAGTTGAGATTGTAGTTGATTCGAACTATTGACGAGTCTGTCACTAGAACTATATATACCGAACATTCGTCCTATACACATGGCGTGCTGGACGATCACTAATCTGGGTAAGCAGGAGCAGATCCCGGATCACTAATCGAGGAGGGTTTACGAGATGGTCAGCCCGTAACTTATCGCCTAGTGCTGACTCTTGACATGCCATGGTCGGACTACTGGATAAGGTGCCTGGTCTGCTATCGCACAGGATTCGCATAGTATGGATTGCATACACAATCATTGATTGACTTGCATGCTTGCATATCACATAGGCGAGAGGCTGGGCCCAGCATACACTTATGCAGCGCATAGAGGCATCTGCAACGCATCTGCTACGCATCTGCTGAGTAATTATGCATGGGCGGTGGAGCTGGAAATGATGTCAGCGTCCCGAAAGCTTTTGGTTTCCACTCTTCCCTTCCACAACCATCTCTCCACTTTCCTCACTCTCACTCTCTCTCGCGCGCGCGCGCGATAAGAAAACCTACCGACAGTCATCTTGTCGTCATGCATTGTTAACTGCCTCTCATCCACTCTCCGCATCCCTTTTTCGCTACCATCATTCTCGCGTCATGGACCTGAGCCATGCTTATGAGCCTCCCTGATGGCCCCTCATCATTGAGGCCTCAAAACCACCGCCTCCTCCTTCTCGTCCATGCATTGCCAAATCTCCCTCCATTCCATTCGAATCGCTTTGAATCCTCCCGTCGTCGCTCGAATCATCCCTCCTCTCCGCTTATCTTCCGCACGTAACGCACGAAACGCACGAAGCTTCTCCCACACAAACCCGTTCGACATGAAAATCGCTATTACGGGTGCTCGCGGCACGGTCGGGCGTGAGGTCGTCAAGGCGGCTTCGAAAGCCAACCATTCCACCGTCCAGGTCGACCGCACAGATACGGAGTACGATGGCACTCCTAACTCGGAAATGAAGACGGCGGATACCGCCAACGACTACCAGGCCACGCTCAACGCCTTCCAGGGCTGCGACGCCGTCATTCATCTGGCCGCGATTCCCGACCCCGTCGACAAGGGCGACGACCTCGTCCACAACAACAATGTCAACTCTGCCTTCAACGGGTTCCGTGCTGCTGCCGAGCTGGGCATCAAGCGCGTGTGCTACGCCTCCTCCGTCAATGCGATCGGGCTGGAATATGCCAACCGACCCCTGAAGTTCGACTACTTCCCCGTCGATGAAGAGGCCGAGTCCCGCCCGACGGACGCTTACGCGCTGGCCAAGGACGAAGCCGAGCTGCAGGCCCGTGCGTTTGCTCGGTGGTTCCCCGGGATGAACATTGCCTGCATGCGCATACATGCCGTGTCGTCGCGAGCCGAGGCGCAGCAGGGACACAAAGACAACTGGGATACTGCAGCCGTGAAGAGTCTGTGGGGCTGGGTCAGTCCGCCGGCGACCGCGAGAGCGTGCCTATTGGCCGTGGAGAACAGTGACAACTTGGAGGGATGTGAGGTCTTCAACATCGTCGCCCCAACGACTACGCAGGACACCCCGTCCAAGGACCTGGCCAAGAAGTACTACCCCGACGCAGAGATTCGAGGCGAGCTGTCAGGGAACCAGTCCCTCTTCGCCACCGACAAGGCAAAGAAGATCTTGGGATGGGTACATGACGAGAAGGAGTGACTCAATCGGGAAGCTATGATCTTTTCTCGTCTGTAGACCTTTGTCAAATGTCCTAGATTAGCGATTATAATGAAGACCGGATGGCACACGTGAAGTATAAACATTTACTTGTACCATTGCGATAGCAACTGCCGGTGGAGATATATAACGATCGGGTCATATAGAGATAGAACCCATGCTCTTGGAACGCGGTGCCTTTACACCTGTTCATTGTAGCTCACTGTAGCTTACCCACAAGATTGCCAAACTCTACGACGTTTTCTAACCTCACACGTCTTTAGATATACCTTGTTGAGGTGTTGACTTGGTTGTGGTGTGGTGGTCACTTGACTAAGAGAGGTGCTTACTCATCGGCTGCCGCCTCTCCCCGACCGCGTCGCGTTGTTTCTCCACCCTTCGTTTTCTTGTCTCCCAGTCTTCGACTTCTACGATGCTGCCAAACATTATCATCTCACTCTCCACTCAATGACTAAATGACTACAAATTCGAATCGTGACTGTAGTGTACGAAGTAGGTCAAGGAATCTACCCGGCCGCTTACTCGTCGATCGCAAATTGCGTTCGCTACGCCCTCACTCTTGGCATTGGTCCGGGTCGCACACCGTATGCGAAGAGTGCTGAAGTGTATGGTAGGGTTGAGTTTGTACCTTGTGCAATTTGAGATTACAACGCTTCAGTTAACAGCTACATTGTAGTCTCATTAGCATTGAGTGCTCGGGATGGCACCGCGGAGCACAACTCGGCGACCTGCTGCCACGCTATTCCGAAGAGGATGCTGTATAGTCCTCTAAATCATGGTTGAATCGACGCTCTGACAGATGCGCATCACCATGTGTGCCAGAAAAACTGTCATCGTGCGAGGAAAAGCTTTCATCACCCGAAGACTCTAGGTCGTCCTCTTCAGTCCACCGGGCCTTCAATCCGGGAGACAAAGCTACCGGAGCGTCTCCAATCACTCGACGGATCTGAAGAGGCCCGGAATCCGTTCGGCACACTTCGAGCCGAGTCATTGAGCTTTTTGCATACTGCACAAGCTCATGAAGAACCCATGCCAGCCGCTTCAGTAGCTCTTGCTTGTCTCGCTCCCATTGTGTGATTTGTTCTCGCATGTCTTGCACCCGAATGTCAGTGAACAAACCCCAGTCGTGATACGCCACGACCAGAGTTGGGATCTGTGACACCCAGAGGCGAGGAGTTAGATCTGTCATATCGATCTCTTTCCTCACAGTGCGGGTCTGGAAGTCAAACATTGAGCGTGTCTTGATGTCAATGATAGTGCTCTGGGAGATCGACCGTCCTCCTTCGCGAAACTTCAAATCTCCGGAGCTTTGAGCTGGTTCCGGAGTGTGGTCTTCTCCGAGCTTACTTACCAGACTGTCAACTTCAGCCTCCAGAGTTTTATATGGCATTCTTCTTTCACTGTCAGAGCTACGGCACTCTTGTTATTGCATCTTCTTCTCTGGGATGTATCCGTCCGACTCAAAACGAACGAGGAAATGAAGGCCACCAAAGTCATACTGAATGATTCGTTGATGGGACTCTGAACCGGCAAGACCAGGCCTCCAAATTGTGTATTCGTCTAGGAATGTGTGCCCGTACCCCCGAATATCAGGTATCAAGTTGGTTGGCGAGTTCTCCCGTCTAATGAAAAAAACGGTGTCGCCCACCGTTTCTAGGACAAACCTGAAGCTTTTGTCGACCCCTCGAGCAAAACGTTTGAGATTGCTCAAAGTACTGGAGCAGGTCACAATATCTGTGTTGGCGAGATCATATTCGGGATACTGCTTTTCGATCGCTGTAAAGGCCGCCTCCCATGGATAGGCAGGATATCTAGCAGCATTTGGGTCACGTAAATACTTGCCACAGTCGGCTTGGAGTTGCCTGTCCTCGGTTGGGGGAGTCCAGACAGGTGGCTCGCCTAGCGACATGGGGTTTTTTAGCGTTTAAGACTCAAGTTCAGCACTCCGGGGATGAGAAGCTATACCCGGAATTATGATTGACGGCGAATCGCGCCCCAACCATGTGTACGAGGTCAAGTACTCGCAGGAGGTAATCAGAGGACTCTCTTGAGATCTTCCAAGGTTATATTGCTCGATCTCCACAAGTAGTGGACCGCATGGAGGGGCCGGGGACTCGTAGACCGGTTCTGGTTTGCGCGTCTGGTGACCAAGCCCAAGCCAGCCCCGTCGCGAACCTCCACGAATGCTGGCTCTGTAACGTCTTTTTGGGGCTCCCCACATTATCGCTGGCGATCACAATCGACAAGAAGTCTGTTCATCGAAGAACGCCATCGGGCCGCGTGAGTCAGGAAGCATCGAGCGAACGGAAGCAGAAGACTTCCTTTGTGTCACATGAAGGCCCAAACGCTGGTTTCCAGCCAATTGCGCCACTGTGACATCTAAACCCTCATCCAACCTCCAATGGTGCGTTGGTCTGGGGCGGGGTTGTCCCAACCCAATCCTTCCTTCACATCAGTGGCCTTCTGCTTCCTCTCCTCCGCCTCATGCTATACCCACTGGTATGAAAATGCTCGAGGTGAATTTTCCACGATATGGCTACTCGCTCAGACCGCCTCACGAAATATCTATCGCTCATCGAAAAAGGTAAGAGAAGGGTGGAAAGGTCCGCCGATCCCAAGCTGTTCCTAGAGTCACTTTGCGCGCAAGAGGACTCTCTGCGCTGTAATGAGAGGGTGCTTGCTTCCCCAAGTCTTCTTGAGGCACTGCAGAACAGTTTCCGTGTCGACTCATCGACTGAGTTTGTCAACACTTCGGCCGCAGAGTTCTTGAGCTATATACGAAACCCACTATCGAGAGCTTTGGCAATGGACAATTTCTCCGCCAGCTTGTCTCCTGCATCACCAATCCTCGCACCTTCTGGACAGTATTCCTGCAAGCTCACACCTCGAAGAAACTCAGTGAGCACGCAGAGTTAAGCTCTGTCTGGTTGCTTCTGAAGCTGCTCAGCTCTCCAGGATACTCTTCCGATTTTATTGACACTGCCGAGAACATCACGCAGAGTCGAACCTTCCTCAATTCAACCTTCCAGGAAGTCAGGACTATCGGGTATCGAACCCAGAACATTGCGAAGACCATCAGGACCAAGGTGGATCTAGACGATAGCTACCGACCAGGAGGGAGGCACGACAACGACTTCAAAGACTTCCGGGAAATCTCGATTTTGCCCATCCCGGATGAAATCGCTTCAGTAGAAATTCCGTACTACAGGCGGATGTGCGATGTCTACAACGTCTCCGAAGCACAACGGGCTGTAATGCATTACGATAACCAGTTTCGCCTGTTGAGAGAAGACCTTCTCGCCGAGCTGCGCAATGATCTCTAGATCGCTCGCGGTCAGAAAAAAGGAAGGAGATCTGCCCCCCCGGTCCATGGGCTATGTTTGACAGGAGTTGGCTGTGGCACCGACGACCGAAGAAGGACCTGCTATCTTGAGTTTGCCTGCACGAAGGGTTTGCCACACTTGTCTAGCCTGCCCAAAGCGGATCGCAAGAAATTGCTCGATGACAACCCACACATATTTAGTCACCAGGCATTTGGGTGCTTGCTGAGCAAAATGGATATTGTCGTATTTGTAACCCTTGATCGCGGGTCCTCAGACCTGCTTGATGATCTTCCCACTCTCGCCCTGGTAGTGTCTGGCACCGATGCACTCACACGTCTATTTACATGCGCCAAGATGGGCCCGGCCTTCACCTTCCTCCCTGTTGATACACCAATCTTCGCTTGCGAACCAATCCTCCAACGTTTACAGCAGGTGATGGAGTTTTCACTCTCTCAAATACTGCTTGCGTCGGAGCCAAAGCTAGAGCTTTTGACGTTGGACGACAATCTTGCAACCGTTGTTGGCCAGATCCAAACAACGAACGGCGAGTCACTGGACGCCATTCTTGCCACTGAGATGAAGGTATAATTGGATGACTCGCAGCTTCAGTCGCTCTTGAATGGGCGGCAGCAGAGCGTAAGCACAATTCAGGGGCCGCCTGGTGAGTTTACATGAACGCTTAATATGTGTCCGACCGCAGCGAAATAATCCATGCCATTGCAGGAACGGGAAAGTCATATCTCGGGGCATTGATCGCGAAGATTTTGCATGATAAGACGTGTAAGACGATGATGGTCATCTGCTACACCAATCACGCTCTGGATCAATTCCTGGAAAACCTGTTGGACATTGGCATCCCGGAATCGTCCATGGTCCGGCTTGGGGCCAGGTCGACGCCGCGAACCAAGCACCTGGGACTTTTCGAACAGTCAATAGGCACTTCTGTCACTGATTCATGGTCTTTTGTTCTTAAAAAGAGGGAAGATCTTAATCAGGCAGCCGAAGAGTTAGAGTCGTGCTCACTGGAATTCAACGGCGATAATATAACCACATACGACATTCTCGAGTATCTGGAGTTCTCGGGCAAAAGCGCCTTGTTTGACGCATTTACCATACCTGATCAGCATGACGGCATGGTGCAAGTCGGAAGGCATGGTAGGAAAATCGATAGGTACTACCTCTGGGATGCCTGGGTACATGGAAGAGATGCCGGCAGTTTTCGAGACCGGATCAGTGCCCACCACGCTTACATCTGGGGACTGGCGCCCTTCAAGCGCAAAGAGATGGTCGGCAAATGGCGCAACAGTCTTCTTCATGAAAAATGCGACAAGCTTGTGGAGCTCATCAAGAGGTTTAATCAGTAGGCGACGGACCTCGACGAATATTATTATCACAAACGGCATTCTGCGGTGCTAGAAGCAAAGCGCATTGTGGCGTGTACGACTAACGCGGCGGCCAGGTATGCCAGAGCCCTCCGGGTGGCTAAACCCGACATCGTGATAGTCGAGGAGGCCGGGGAAATTCTGGAAAGTCACATCCTTACGGCTATGACCCTGTACACCAAGCAGCTGGTGCTAATCGGCGATCATAAGCAATTGCGGCCGAAGGTGAACAACTACAACCTGTCCGTCGAGAAGGGCGATGGCCTCGACCTCACTCGGTCACTCTTCGAACGACTCATCGCTCAGGGCTATCCGCATACCTCCCTTGCGAAGCAGCATCGAATGCGTCCGGAGCTCTCACGGCTGGTCCTACAGCTTGCCTACCCAGAGCTTCAGGACTCCGAGAGCATACTCAAGCGACCTGACTCCGCGGATTTCAGGACAATATTGTGTTTGTTGACCACTGCCAACCAGAGCGTGAGCTTCGTGACATTTCTGAAAGAAGAGATCCAAGTATGAAGACTAGCAAGCAGAATCTGTATGAGGTCGAAATGGTTTTGAAGGTTGCCAAGTATCTGGGCCAGCAAGGATATGGTACAGACGACATGGTCATCCTGACACCGTACCTAGGCCAGCTGTCTCTTTTGCGGATTGAGCAAAACCAATGATCCGTTGTTAAACGACTTGGATTCAAACGACCTGCTAAAAGCGGGACTGCTAACCCTCGGAAGCCCCAAGGTCTTGAAAAGTCCTATTCGTATTTCAACCATAGGTATGTGAAGGGGTATTGTCTCCTAGGAACCGTGGTCACTGACAGTGATCCTTCAAAACAGATAAGTACCAAGGTGAAGAGAGGGATATTGTTGTTGCAAGCCTCACAAGAAGCAACGAGGCGGGAGACATCGGGTTCACGGCGGCTCCCGAGCGTGTGAATGTTCTCCTCTCCCGCGCACGAAATGCCCTGGTGATGATCGGAAACGGAGGTACATTCCTCAAGAGCCGCAAAGGACATCTCACATGGCGGCCACTCTTTGAGATGCTCAAAAGATATGGCCACGTGTATGCTGGGTTTCCGCTTAAATGCGAGAGACATTCTGATCGCCAGGTTGTGATCCGATCGCCCAAGGAGTTTGATACAGCATGTCCCGACGGAGGCTGCTCGGACCCGTGGTATGTCAACCCATTCCTCCATCATCAAAGAAAGCCCTCTTCGGCGGGGACTGACAGGCTCACAACAGCTCGGCTATCTTCGCCTGCGGAATCTATTCTTGTACTAGACGGTGCCATCGAGCTGAGTTCCACGGCAGAATAAAATGCACTAGGACAATGGAACAGACGTGTCCCAAGAATCAAAGGTATTACTGAGAATGCTACCAAGGAGCCCCGAGGACCTGCCCTACATGTCTCGAGGAAGCAGTCGAAGCTGAGAGGAGAAAACGCGAAGATGCAAAACTAGAAGCAAAAAGACGAGCGACCCAGCTGGAGCACGCGAAGAAGCTTAAAGAAATCGAAGAGAGAATCAGACAGCAGCGACAAGTCTTGACGGACAAACATGGCAATCAGGATCGTCGCGACGCTCTTGCTCGAAAGGAAGAGGAGCCGAAAATCCTAACTGCAGCTGCTGATCGTACTCACGCTTGCCCACCGACTGCCTTGCCAGGGGCATTCCCTGCCGATCCACAACCCGAAGATGGCACCAGGATGATACCACTGCAGTCGGAAGCACAAGATGAATGGCAGAGGCAGAAACAGGACGAAGGCCAGTCAAATGAAGCTCTGGACACCTTGATGGACATGATCGGACTCGAGAGTGTCAAGGAAAGCTTCCTTGGTATCAAGGCCAAGGTGGATGTGGTGGTTCGACAAGGTGCCAGTCTTGTGGCCGAGCGGTTTGGCGCAGCCCTTCTTGGAAATCCAGGTACCAGAAAAACAACCGTGGCACGACTGTATGCTCGGTTTCTGAGCATGGTTGGCGTCATCCCCGGTAGCTTCTTCGTTGAGACCTCGGGGTCCAAGCTAGCAAATGGTGGTGTCCAGGGTTGTCAGAAACACCTTGAAGAGATCAAGTCGATTGGGGGAGGGGCACTGTTCATCGATGAAGCCTATCAGCTAACATCTGGGAACAGTACCGGGGAGAGCTCGGTTCTGGACTTTCTGCTGGCAGAAGTCGAAAATCTGACCGGGAAGGTTGTGTTAATCATCGCCGGATATAACAAGAACATGGAAAGCTTTTTCGCTCATAATCCCGGTATTCCAAGCAGGTTCCCAGTCGAACTTCAGTTCAAGGATTACCCAGACGAGGAGCTTCAAAGTAATCTCCAGCACCACATGCACAAGAAATACAATGGACGCATGAGGGTTGAAGAAGGCACCGGCGGGCTCTATATGCGGATTGTCGCCCGCCGTGTCGGCCGTGGGCGTGGCCGTGAAGAATTCGGAAATGCTCGAGCAGTGCACAACGTTTTTGCACGCATCACGGAGCGCCAGGCCAAACGACTACAACGGCAACGTCGACTCAAGAGACCTGCTGATGATCTGCTTCTGACGAAAGAAGATCTTCTTGGACCAGATCCGCGAACAGTGCTGAAAAAGAATGCTACGTGGGGCAAGCTTCGAGCCTTGACCGGTCTGCAAAGTGTCAAGCAGTCGGTAGAAGCGCTATTTGACACAATCCAGTTCAACTATGCGCGTGAACTAGCAGAGAAACCCTTAGTGGAATTTTCCCTGAACAAAGTATTCGTAGGCAATCCCGGCACTGGCAAAACCACCGTCGCAAAGCCTTTTGGAAAGCTCTTGGCAGATATGGGATACCTGTCCAACGGAGAAGGTAATGATCACAATCCTCTCCTTTCCACCTGCCGGCCATTCACAGACAGTGTTCACTGACTTTGCTTACCGCAACAGTTGTTGTCAAGAATCCATCCGACTTCATCGGCAACGTCATTGGCGGCTCTGAGGCTGCGACAAAGGGCATCTTGGCTTCCACTCTAGGCAAAGTCCTTGTCGTCGACGAGGCTTACATGCTTGGTGGTAGTTCCTCGGGGTCTGAATCGATCGGAGGCCCAGATATCTACAAGGTGGCTGTAATTGACACCCTAGTTGCGGAAGTGCCAAGCGTCCCCGGCGATGACCGGTGTGTTCTGCTTCTCGGATACAGGGGCGCAATGGAAGGATGGTTCAGACAGTGAACGAAGGACTCTCCTGACGCTTCCCTATGGGCACTGCGTTTGACTTCCAGGACTTCAGTGATGATGACCTTCAAGAGATCCTAGCTCTCAAATTGAAGCAAGCAGGCTTTCATGCCACCAAGGATGCAAAGCTGGTTGTTCGCCAATGTCTGGCTCGCGCCCGGAACCGACCCAACTTTGGTAATGCTGGGGAGGTGGACATCCTTCTAGACAAGGCCAAACTACGGCACCAGCAGCGGCTTTCTGCGCGGAAAACCAGAAACATTGACATCTTGGAGCCGCTCGCCTTTGACCCCGATTATGATCGAGAGCAGAAAGCCGTTACCAACTGCCGGAAGCCTTTCGAAGGAGTTGTGGGCTGCGAGCACCTGGTGGCGCAGCTCGAGGGCTATCAAAATGTGGTTCGGAACACGAAGCAATTGGGGTTGGATCCCCGACACAATATACCGTTCAACTTTCTGTTCCGTGGTCCTCCGGGTATGGGATATCTTTTGCGTTCTGCGTCTGGAGCATGTGGCATTGCTGACAGAATTTCCAGGGTCCGGCAAGACGTCGACAGCGCGACGCGTGGGTAGATCTTCTACGACATGGGCATTCTGGCCACAACCGAGGTGATCGAGTCATCGGCCTCTGATTTTGTTGCACAGTATGTTGGACAGACTGGACCCAAGACCGAGCGGCTTCTTGAGAAAGGACTGGGCAGGGTCCTCTTCATCGATGAAGCGTACAGACTCGCTGACGGGACCTTTGGTAAAGAGGCCATGGATGAGTCGGTCGATCGTTTGACGAAAGAGAAGTTCCACAAGAAGCTTATTGTTATATTAGCCGGGTATGAGGGAGAGATCAATCGTCTCATGGCATCCAATCCTGGTCTGACCAGCCGGTTCTTAGAAACGGTCTCGTTCCAAAATCTTACTGCCTCTCAGTGCTGGGTACTCCTGCGGGATAGTCTGGGACAGCTCGATCGAGTCGATTTAAAGGCGGTTCATGACCCTGACGATCAATTCATGTCTCAGGTTTTGGACTCCTTTGAATATATATCCACACTGCCTGGGTGGGGAAATGGTCGGGACGTCAAGACCATCTCTGACACAATTATTCGAAAGGTCTTCTCGTGCCCACAGGATGCGGGAGGCAAGGGACTAGCGCTTACCCAAGCGATGGTAATCGACGTTATGAAATCGACAATTGAGGAACGGCGGCTTCGAGCGACGGCCACTACCTCAAATCCTCAGACCAGAGATGGGTCCTTGACATCAAAGGTCGCACCGTTCTCAGCCCCCCCTTTCTCCAAATCGTCCGTCTCCGCTGTCAAGGACCAGGCTCGCTCTGGCACCGCAACTGGTGACCCATCTGCGACTACTTCGGGCAACTCTTGTTCAGACGAGGGTCGCGACCCGGGGGTCTCTGACGAGGTCTGGATGCAACTGCAAGCGGATCAAAAGCGTAGCGAGGAGCAGAGGAACCGTGATGCAGAAACTCTTCGTCGAGAGGAGAGTATCAAGAGGCAGCTGAAGAGTAGTGCCACTGAGCCGGATGGTGACGAACGCTGTGAGTATGAGAAGCAGCTCCGAAGCCTGGCCCGAGAAAGAGTCGAGATTGAGGAGCGGGGGAAGCAGGAGGAGGCTGCTCAGCAGAAATTGCAAGAGATGGGTGTTTGCCCCGTGGGATTTAGGTGGATTAAACAAGCGACGGGTTATCGGTGTGCTGGTGGGATTCACTTCGTGCCTTCTGCGCAGCTATTATAGGTATTACGCTATTTAATCGCATATATACATCGGAAAATGTCATAACTCAGACAGCGACCACCATGTTATATGCCCAATACAGCTTTTAAAACTCTCCAGTTGCTGCTTAGAGGTTGGACAGTACATAGAATGCTTTCATTTCCCCGCCGCATACCGGAAACACTAACATCATGGATCCTGAATCAGGCCAGTCCATCTTCTCGCCCGTCAAATCAATTCGATGCACTAATCAAGATGCTCTTCACGGATAGATACTCATCGATGCCATGGCTGCTTCCCTCGCGCCCGTAGCCCGACTCCTTCACGCCTCCAAAGGGGCTTTCGCACGCACCCAGCCCTCCCAGGTTGACGCCGACCATGCCGACCTCCAGGCTCTCGGCCACTCGCCACATACGCGAGATAGACTCGGTGAGAATGTAACTACCTAGACCCACGTCGCAGTCGTTGGCTCGTTCAATTACCTCTTCCTCGGTCATGAAGGGGTACAAGGCAACCACCGGCGCAAAGGTCTCTTCGCGGGTCACTTGCGCCTCCGGCGTGACATTGCTCAGGATGGTGGGCTGCATGAAGTAGCCCTTGAGATTATCGGGCTGACAGGGGGCACCGCCCAGCAGGACGGAGGCGCCCTTGGAGGTGGCATCTGTTCGAAAGACATCGATTAGCAGCTTCGACATTGTACGGGTATGAATTGAACGAACCGTTGATGTGGCTAACAGCCTTGTCGACCGCGCGCTCGTGCGTCAAAGGGCCGATGGTCACCCCGTCGACCACGCCATTGCCGACTCGCAAGGTTTTGACGCGTTCCACCAAGGCGGCAGCAAAGCGATCGTAGATGCCCTCCTGGACAAAGACGCGGTTGGCTGTGATGCAGGTCTGCCCCGCATTCCGGAACTTGGCCAGCAAGAAGGCATCGACGGCGGTTTCTAGCTTAGCATCGTCAAAGACGATGAACGGGCTGTTGCCACCCAGCTCGAGAGACAGCTTCTTGAGATTGACACTGCACTTCTGCGCGAGCAGTTTACCCACGCGTGTCGACCCGGTAAAGCTGAGCTTGCGGACCAAGCGGTTCTCGCATAAGGCGGACCCCACCTCGTTGACGTTGTTGAGGGTGGTGAGCACATTGATTGAGCCGGCGGGGAGGCCCGCTTCCTGGGCGAGGACAGCGAGGGCGAGCGCACTCAGCGGCGTTTCGCCGGCGGGTTTCCAAACGGTCGTGCACCCAGCTGCTAGGGCGGCACCCACTTTGCGGGTGATCATCGCCAAGGGAAAGTTCCATGGGGCCAGGCAGGCGGCTACCCCCAGGGGCTCTTTGATCGTGATAATTCGTTGACTGGGGTTGGCAGGAGGGATGACTTCCCCGTACGCCCGTTCGGCTTCACCGGCAAACCAGTCCAGGAATGAGGACGCGTAGGCGACTTCCCCCTTAGCTTCGGCCAGGGGTTTTCCGTTCTCCAGGGTCAGGATGAGGGCGAGATCATCTTGGTGCTCGAGGCAGAGCGTATACCATCTTCGTAGCCACTGGGCTCTTTGGCGGGCTGTGGTTTTCTTGAAGGTCTTGAACGCCTCGTAGGCGGCTTGTACGGCTTGATTGGTGTCTTCTGCGTTCATTTCCGGCAGGGTGGCTAGGAGGTCCAGCGTCGCCGGATTGCGGACCTCGAAGGTTGACCCGCTAGTGGAATCGACCCATTGATGAGCGATGAACCCCTGTGTTTGGAAGAGATCCTTGCGCTTGAGGTCGGAGAGTGTACGGGGCATTTTTGATGGACGAGTAAGGGCACCTTTCTTGGGGGGTGATGGAGCGGGGAAAGGCAGAGAGCAAAAATGTTGATTCACAATTCAATAAAAGATGGATTGTCTTGTATTGGTAGTGGTTATAACTTATAAGTTAACTATATTGCAAGCAGGTGGTGGAGGGGGAATCCTCCAATCCCCAATCCCCAATCCCCAATCCCCCAATTCTCCAAATCCCGAAACCCCCAAATTCCGAAGTCCCGAAGTCCCGACATTCCCAATTTTCCATCCACCCCACTTGTCACCAGTCTGTGACGCCACGGCAGTTTCCTTGTCGCTCTCATATCTCCGAGCTTCGAGATCCGAATGACTATTGCAACAGAGGGACCAAGACCTGTCCTGGTTGCAAGACTCACAAGAGCTTTACATCCCCAGTGAACTTGGGATAATTCGCAGCTAGATGATAACGTTAATCAAGAACTTCGAAGCATAAAGGAGTAGGTACTGAATGGAGCGAGCTTGATGGAGTCCTACTAGTGTGTACCTGAAGGAGTAAGTCCTGGACTGGTGCACTTGAGCCCCGCACTCTGATGATCAATGATCATCTTTACACAATGTGCGGGGTAACAGCGCGGGTCAGCTCTCACATATAGCAACCAAGGCACATGAGATTACGCACGACACGCAACACGACTCCTCCTCGACCCCCAATTTATCATGTCGGCCATCCAAGCCCAGCTCGACCAAGGTGCCGTCCCCAATGCCATCTCGAATGTCTGCCCGCCGGGCACCAGGTTCCACCTCCTGGAAGTGGGCTGGCTGGAATGCGACAAGGGCTTCGTCGTCCGCGGCGGCAACACCAGCCTCAAGTCCACCGAGCACCGCTCCTTTGTGAACGAACGCTGCGAGATGCCCATGTACTGCGTTCTGATCGACCATCCCCACGAAGGATTGATTCTTTGGGAAACCGGTAGTGGGAAGGACTACCCCGAGGTTTGGGGCCCGGTGGCGGTCGACATTTTCGCGCGCGTGCGCTACGAGCCCCGCCATGAGCTGCGCGCCGCCGTCGAGGCCACCGGCCATCGCATCGAGGATATCCGCAAGATCATTATCGGGCATCTCCACCTGGATCATGCCGGTGGGCTGGACGAGTTCTTCGATCGCAAGGACGTCGAGATCTGGGTGCATGAGAAGGAGCTGACCAGTGCGTTCTGGTCGGTCGCGACCGGGGCGGATAGTGGGGTCTACTTGGAGCATTACCTGAAGTTATCTTTGTATGCGATCCCGCTCCCTAAATCCCTTGAGCGCCCTGGGCTAATGGAGCTAGATAGAAATTGGAAGACATTCAACGACCAGACGCTCGACTTCTGCCAGGGCATCACCCTCCACCATCTCCCCGGCCACACCGAGGGGCTGATCGGGATGCAGATCAACATGCTCCACACCGGCACTTTCTTCTTCATCAGTGATCATTGTCATGTAATCGAGAATGTATGTTATTTTCTCCTTCCCCGAGGCAAGCTAGCTAATCTGGTGTGATGGCTGCAGTGGCGCGATGGGATCCCTCAGGGCTGGCTGGCACGTGACCACCCCTCCTGGTTCCGGAGCACGCAACGGCTGAAGCATCTCCAGCGCATCACCAAGGGGCAGGTCATTCCCGGCCATGACAAGGGGATATTTTTGGACTTGCAGAAGCAAGCCGATGTGTTTATCTAACGGGTACATCGCAGGTCTCGTCTGCTGTAGGCTTGCAGCCGACTGCTGCATCATGGCCCCGGTCAACTTCATATGTCTCAAATGCTAAGCTCGTACGATTTCTCCGGTGCATTCGGTCGTGCGATACCCAATAGCTAGGGCTGGGACTAACTAAGTGATCAACTATGCAATTATGCAGACCGTCAAGTCATGCCGTTGACAACTGCGAGTCAGTATGGTGGGTCTCACGAGGGATGGCATCGTATCCCCGCCGCGATCGGGACAAGATACCCGATGGCCCGCCCGTGCACGGCCTCAGGAACCAGGCTGCGCCACCATTGCTGTGCTGAGCTATGGGGCTTAACTCCTCCAAGTGGCAATACTCCCAACTGTCCAGATAGGTCGTAGAATCTCACTGTAGCGTCAAGGAAATTCTACCCGACGGCGACCGTATATAAAAAGCTAGATGCTATACGCTCTCTGGGAAATCCCTATAACGTTACCGCTCGGATTCCACTCATCCCTCACAATGCCTCTCCACACCTGCCCTACCGACAAACCGCTTGACCTCGGTCTGTGGGACTATCTGACCAACACGGAGGGACTCCATGGCAGCCACGATGATCCGCGGTTCGAGATGGCCAAGCACCAGTTTGGCGACGCAGCCAAAAACTTCAAGATCCAGCATCACAAAGCGCGCATGTACTATCATGAAGCTAAGAGTGAGGGAATAGTTGAAGAGGAGATGTCCTTTGAGAGATGGAGTCAAGTCAATGTTCGTGGCCTCACGTATTCCATGTTGTCGCTGAATCTGTCACTGACACAGTCGTCGCATCTAGATGCCCGCCCTGCAGATGGCTTTGCGCGAGTTCCAATACAAGAAGGATCAGCTCGTCCAGGTGGGGTTGATGATTTATGGACCGGGATACCATGAGCGCATGGAGCGCGGAGCTCACGAGTCAGCGACGAAAGCGGCAGCGGACGATGGGTTCTTTAGCTGAAGCGTTGATGAATGAGAAGGATGAGAATGTTGATGGTTATTTCTGGCACAATTCATGATTTACAGTAACTTCCAATCCAGCCCTAACCTCTCTCCACTTCCCTATCCAAAGCTTCATCATGTACATACCCAGCGCGCGCTCAGCTTTCAATAAAAGAGTGACTACTGAGCCACCGTGCACTACGAACTCACCCTCCCATGCCGAAAGACAATCTTGTGTGCCTTTCGCGCTTCAAAGTCCCGGTACGCCTGTGGAGCCTCCTCGAGGGGCACGACGTGGCTACAGAGGAACTCCAACTTGGGGTACACCTTCTGAAAGACGGCCAGGGCTTCATCAAAGATGCTGCGCACGGGGCAGCGTCCGAACGCCATGGTGACATTCTTGCCGTAGCACAGCTGCCCATTCAACGGTAGCATCTCGCTGTGCACCCCGATGGAGTGGATTGTGCCCCATGGGCGGACCATGTCAAAGCACATCATGAAGGCGTCGGCGTGACCGACTACTTCAATGACCACGTCCGCGCCACGGCCGTCAGTGACGGAGCGGATCTTGGCGACCGGATCAGAGGAGAGAGGGAGAGGGATCGCCCCGAGGCGTTCTGCTTCAGCGAGGCGTTCGGGCACGGAATCTATCGCATAGACTTTGGAAACCATGGTGAGTGCGCTGACAATGGTGCAGAGGCCCACGGGGCCGCAGCCCACGATGGCCACGGTGTATTCGTCACGGTCGCGTTGGGTCAGATTGGCGAGGAATCGGGAGGCAGCGAAGTATCCCGTGGGGAAAATATCGGCCATGAGGACGAGCATATGGTCGGGGATGGTGGAGGGTTTGGGGACGAGAGTGGTGGAAGCCAAAGGCACTCGCACGTACTCGGCCTGGCCGCCATCGATTGTGTTGGCCGGGGCCGAGTTGCCGAACAAAAAGCCCTGGCTGCATCGACTGGCCTGTCCACGCACGCAGTAGTAACATTCCTGGCAGGTCGCGTAGAAGGGGACCACCACTTCATCGCCAATCTCGAACTCGGTCACCTCCTCGCCTTTCTTCGCGATGGTGCCGACGAACTCGTGACCGCAGATGAAATTGGTGGGGCATTTCAGGTGCCCGCGGTAGAAGTGCAGGTCGGAGCCCTGGATTATCGCAGATATGAGATATGTTCAGAGATGATCAACACCAAGTGTGACTTGTGGAGAGAGAGGAGGGGGGGGGGTAAGGTACGCATAAAGCCGAGGTAGACACCCTGAGGATCACATCCTTAGGGGTTTGTAGCTTGGGGGTGGGCCGCTCCTCAACGGCCACCTCATATGGACCGCGGAAGACCACGGCACGCATGGTGTCGGGAAGGTCCATTTGAGTGGTCATGTTGCGTTGCGTGGGATGCGAACCTGTTACGGAGATAAGTTCCAATAGAAGAGGACCCGGGGAGAATCAGTTTTGAACGATGGGGTGGATGGCTGGGTTATACGTCAAGGGTTATAACATAACAGAGTCAGTCTCAAATGCGGGGTAATTCTAGTTACACAGCTCGCTTCCTGGGGATGCGGTAATGCCTCTGGGCTCACACGCATGCACAACCAGTAGTGCCTCAGGTTCGATGAAAATCCAAGAATCCATTCTAATACAAGACAAGAGATGGAAGTAGCGATCGAGGTGTTGCAAAGCCACCCCCTCCACACCCCCTCCACACCCCCTCCTCACCCCCTCCTCACTGTCACGTCACACCACACCCAAACAACATCCCGAACCTAAGCGGTTCATTCCGAGGCATATTCCACCATGATATCCGTTCGGATAATTACTGCTTCACCCGCTGGAGGTTGTTCCGGTGGTGTGTCTTTGTCGACCGTCGACATGACGACGGTTCCCTTCACTTGAGTATGTGGGACGGCCTCCAGCTCCAGCGCTTGGCCGCGTGCGCCAGGCTGATTGCCATACCAGGGGTATCCCAGATTCCGCGCCCCGGTCTTTGATACTAACGAAAACAGTAATCGGAAGACAGGTGCACACGGAGCAACCAAGAGGCAGGCGTTCTCGACTCTAGAGATGGGTAAAGTCAGCAAGGTCTCCCGTGGGGTGGTCAAACGCAAGAGAAATATCATATGCGCGACCTACTTCGCTAATAGAATGAACAGCACAATCGCATCTATTCGAGCAGGGTCAGTCTACCGAAGCACGCCTGGCGACGGATGATCTCACGAGCCATGTCATCAACGCTATTCATCGTATGGAGTAGCTGCACGACCGGCTGGTTAGCCACGAGCTTCGCCTAGCTGCGAGGAAGGCGCACGCTACTTACTGTCGTCTTAACCAGAGATGCAATCCCGGAGAGTAGCAGCGGACCGCTGATTGCCGCTGTCTGCCGCAAGCGCCGGTTGCGCGCCTCCCGAGGAAGCTTCTTGAAGCGCGAAATGAGCGATTGACTGCGAACTTTCCGCGCCAGTGGGAAGCGCCAGAGCTGCACCCCGGCGAGAATGGCCAGGAAGAAATCGATCGCGGTGTTCAATCCTAGCTGCGGAGTTAGCAGACGCAATGCGAAAGAGGTGGGTGGAGACCTGCCCCCCTGGATCAATCCGGTGACCACTTGCGAAACAGGTTGCTGGCACGCCACAGACCCATCAGTCGGGAGCGGATCCCACATGTAGTGGAAATACGCAAGTCGGTTGGCCTGCAAAAGTCGCGTCAGCGTGTCCCATTCTTGGGGTGGTGGCCGGATGACAGAGCTCTCCTACCGTGTGAGATGTGCGGGAACCGCACATCAAAAGAACCTGCAAATCCGTTGCCAGGTTGACAATGATTTGAACACCTATGCAGATCATAATCGCGACACGGAGGCGCATATCAGCCCCGTGGAAGCACCGCAGGAGGAAATACATTATTCCAATGCGGGCGAGCATCACAGCAATGACCTCTTAGTACCCGTGTCAATCGAACAATATGACTGCACGCAGGTTGAATATTGGGCAGGCACTCACCAAAGAGTTGGCCGATATACGCATATCTCAACGTGTCACTGATTTGGGGCTGAGCCAAGGTCGATGCGGGGCGCCCAAGCCCTGCGTCAAAACTAGGATCGTTAGAGACATGTGCAGAGTTGCAGCGCCGGTAGAGTGGTATGAAAAGAACCTCTTTTGGTACAAAACCATCTGCGTGAAATCGAAGCTGAAACTGAGGAGGTAGAATAGGTCTTCGATGCCCCATAAGCGCTCCGGAGAGCTGACCTTGGGGATGGCCCAGCGGATCCAGGACTTGATGCTGTATCGGGCGACAAGGATTAGGCCCGCCATCGTGCTCAATGCCTACAAGTTGGAATCAGACTGCTGTGCGTGTATGGACTGCTGACAAGGAAGGTGCATACCCATGAAGCAGCGACGTAAGACCCAGCTGCAGACCCATAGCAGTTAGATTCGAATTCTGCTCGTACCGCCCAAGAGAAAGATGACTCACCATTGCCGCTACCAGTATTCTCCCCGACGGGCATGACTTATGATGAAGGCTGTCGCCGAAAATCCCGTAGAGCGGTTCTTTGCAGCTTTGGTGAGCAGGGATGGTGGTAAGGGCCACGCGGTAAGCATCCATTCTCTTTATAAAGCAAGGGTTCCTAACTTAGAATGATCTAGGTGTTGAGAAAACAAGGTGAAAGCTGTGGATGGTGGTGGTGGTGGTGGTGATGAGAAAAGCAGAAGGATCAGAAATCAGGGGTCGATGGATTGACTTTCTTTGTATGCAGCCGAAGGCTAATCTATCACCAACTGATCTCCATTACCCAACACCCCAGCATTGGCCCCGGGGAAATCCATCCGTCCTCCTGTGGCGTCTTGGTCATCCAGGAGTCGACAGGTATGTTCCTTTCCTACGTGCCTTTGAATCTGATCGCTGGACCATTCCCCATTTCCTCCCGATCTTTTGCCATAGCAGGATAGGCCGCACGGAAGACCCCGATTTTGTCCAGATCAGCCAGCTAACGCCACTGGCGATTGGGTCTCGGGCTTTGCCTCGGAAAGGCCATTACAAAGCATTTTCGTTGCTCAGGAGGAGATGCGCTTTGATGTTCAGGCTTGTCTGTGTACGTATCCAATAGCCCCAAGCAGAAAGAGATAGGAGTGGAAGTGATGAGTGCAGGCACCACAACTATCATCACCCGGCTTAGTCCATCAGGCGTCTCGTAGATGATCTATCTGAATCAAGATGAAAATGAATGTCGGTCCGAAAAACCACACTCCTCGCATGATGAATTCCCATACGCTCGACTCCTGACAAAATCCGACCTTCCTGTTTATCTGTCATGGGCATAGCAAGAGCGACCGTATCCTGGTCATTTGTATCGCGTACCAAGTCCAGTTCCAGCCCCTGGCTCGCTCCACCAGATAGGATGTCAGAGCCAGGGTAATCCTTGCTCGGCGATCCATTATTAGAGACATTCGGCACCAGAAGCCGGATAATAGGAGCACAGGTCGCAAGCAGGATGCTATAATTTTCAATCCTGGGCATGAATTAGCGGATGCTTGTCACCTAACAATTGAGAATGCTGGAGCCCTACTTCACCCACAGCACGAATGGCACTATGTTATCTACCAATGACGGCGGTCAGATCCAGATGGGGACTCAGAGAGTCTGAAAATAAGGCACCACTTATGGGTAATATCATTTCTCTCTCCGATAGCTTTGAGTAACTAGTAAATTTTATTAGGGTTTACATTAGGGTTT